CTATCTATCTATCTATCTATCTATCTATCTATCTATCTATCTATCTATCTATCTATCTATCTCCATCCATCCATCCATCCATCCATCCATTTATCTATCTTTGGAGTTATAATTGTATGTTGTACATGCTTATGTGAAGTCAGTCCCACTAAGTTTGTATCCACAAAATACTTAATTTTGTTACAGTACACTGAATCACAACTCAGATGGGTTTGCATGCTGTACCCACTAAATAACCAAATCTTAACCATGATTAACTCCAACCAAGTTTAGCTTGCAGTACAAATGTAGCTTTTGGGCGATTGACTAAATAGGTTAAGAATATAATATGAGTCTATCCAGAAACATTGGAAGGTCTTGCAGCTAAATATGAATCCCAACGATGGCCAGTTAATTCCTTGGCTTGCTTCATACATCACAAACTGGTTACTAATCCATTTTCAGGGATCTCCCAATATACTGAATCCTAAACAAACTGAACAGGCTGATTTTATAGACTGTACTGTGACCCCTCCTCTCTGCTAATAAACTGAACACTAATAAACTAACCAGGCTCTGCATGTTATGTGGAATAATTTATCTGCAAGCAGTGTTTTCAAAGTAGTAATTGGAAATTAGCCCAAAAGTAATAATAAAATACAGCAAGATTACCTAGAATATCCCCTTGTGAGTCAGAACTCCCAGCAAAAATGATCCCTGAAAAAAAGAACATTGCCCATCCATGAGGTTGATCCTTTCACAGGCTTTGGATGACTGTTCTCGCTTTGCTTTTAAACAGCCCCCTAATTGAAAACAGTGACTCACCAGCAGCAACAGATCACATAACAGAGCAATGCTCTTATAGGACTCCAATGCGCTATATGCTCTCAGTTGCCAGCAATTTCACACTGCATACTCCATAGGTCCTGTACAAACATGGCAAACTCCAACTGAACAGGCTTAATGAATTACATCTTTAACATAACAATATAAGAATGGCCCTTTGGGATCAGGCCAAAATGCATCTTGGAGGTCTTCACCAGGGCAGCATTAAATTGCTGCTCTCCAGTGTGAGAGTTACAGAAAACATACCAGCTTAAAGAAGTGTGGACTGTACTCCTAGCCTTTGCTCTGCTTTGGCAATAAAGCAGAATAGGGGTTCTGTCCATACTCCAAGGCAAGGGGCAAAAGAGAAAGATGTGGCTAAATGCCTCCTTTGGTGTTAGTTACTGGCAGCAGAAGACTGAAGGTCTTTGGTCTTTTCTCTGATCCCATGGATTGATCACTCCAAAGGATTGGAGAACTGGCAACAAAGGAGGAGTTCTCCCCTGCTTCTCCCTCCCCATCATGCCCTTCCACCAAGGATGGCAGACAAAGCAGAGAAGGAAGGGAAGCCCTTTCTCTAAGCAGGGTAGAAGTTGCCCGTGGTTTAACTGAAGGGCTGTCTGCTGTTTCTGCCCAGAAGCCATGGGCATCTTTCCTGCAAGGCTGCCAGAGTGAACCCAATTAGTTCATAAGCTTTTGTTTTAAGGGATTGAATTTTTGTCCTTGAATGAAAAGTATTGACCCCTTGATCATTTCCAATGCTGCATCACACTTAGGATGAGTCTCCATCACGTTTCAACTGGGCTTCCCCTTCACAAGAGTTTTCACAAGTTCTGAGGCTGGTCGGCAACTCTGGTTGCTTTGCATCAAAGTTCAGGAATTCAGGAAGTTAACATTTGGACAGTCTTTTTAGAGGTTACAGCCAAGCTCTGAAACAATCTCCCCCCAATAAACAAGCCCCAACTCTGCTCACCTTTATGAAAGTCATTAAAGGCTTTTTTCTCAGGCATTTTAGGTCCAGCTGAGTGGAGTCCCCTTTTGGTTGTTTTATTATGTTTGGCTGCCATTTCACATTATTACATATATGTTTTATTGTTATGTGGTTGTTTTCTTTCTTGTTCTTTTTTTCTATTGTACACCATCCAAAGTCAAATTGTTTTGAGTTGGGCAGCCCTATAAATCCAATAAATAAATAAATTTACTCCCACTTTGAGATGTGGTTCAGATGGAAGTGTAATGTTTTGTTCTCATATTGACAACTTTTACAGATACCTAATTCTCAGGTTGAAATTTCCAGCTGCTACACAATGAGTCATTTTCATCAACCTATCTAATATGACCCTAAGATCATTAAAGACAGCTCACACCTCATCAGTGCATACATGGTTAGTTTTGGTTGCCCCAGGGCACATAAATTTACACTTCCTTAAATTGAATTAGATTTGCATATGGTTGATTGTTTATCCAATTTAAAAAGATTCTTCTGGAACACTTCACAATCACTTCTAATTTTTACCACAAAGAATAGTATGATCTCCAAAGTTGGCCAGCATACTGCTACTTACTTCTAAGTCAAGATCCATTATGAACAAATCAAAAGGCACTGGTCTTTAAGGCAGAGTTCCCCAATGTTTCTGGCTTTGTGGACCGGCAGGAGGGAGGGGATGATTTTGCGCGATGGTCAGCAAGCACATGTAAGTGCACACAGCTCCATTTGCGTTGAGTGGCATGCTTGTGCACCTGCCGCTCATGCAAATGGAGCACATGCACACGCACTTGCTCGCTGCTGGTGCAAGTGAGGATGCGCATGTGTGCTCGCCGGCCATTTCCGCAGCCCGGTTGCAAACCCCTCATGGCCCACAGATTGGGGACCCCTGCTTTAAGGGATTCCACTCTGCATCTCATTTCACTGAGAACCCTGGCATTCTATTCCTACTCTGCTTTCTGATAAAAGAGAATCTTTGTAGCTTGGGGCTGAACTGTGGGGACTTGGCGCTCTCTGAGCTTGGTTATTTTCTTGTAGACTTTTCATTACCAAACTAGGTAACATCATCAATGCTAGAAGGGAATGGGGTTTGCTTTCATTCATTTGCTCTCACTAGTGTGCCCTTTGGTGTTGGTAGGAGTGGTTTTGGTGGTTCCTTAATTAGGTTGCTGTTTACAGGTAGTCCTCAACTTACGACCACAATTGAGTCCAAAATTTCTGTGGCTGAGACATTTGTTAAGTGAGTTTTGCCTGATTTTATGACCTTTCTTGTCACAGTTGTTAAATGAATCACTGGAGTTGATAAGTTAATAACCCAGTTGTTAAATGAATCTGATTTTCCCATTGACTTGCTTTCTCAGTGACAGGTGATCACATGATCTTGGGACACAGCAATGGTTATAAATATGAACCAGTTGGCAAGCATCTGAATTTTGTTTACATGATCATGGGGATGCTACAAAAGTCGGAACTGTGAAAAACGGTCATGTCACTTTTTCAGTCCTGTTGTAACTTTGAATGGTCACTAAATGAACTGTTGTAAGTTGAGGACTACCTGTACTGTTAGCTTGTTTGTCTGCATTGGTAGTTTTAACATTAGGCCAACAATCAAGAAGTAAACAACACCCCAATGAAGGAACTACCCACGCAAACAAGCTAACAGTAATGAGGACAGACTTATAACCCTTCAATGACTCAAATAACTTTGGATGAGGGACTTAGTTAGGTTGTGTTTTTTTTTAATTCGGGGTGCAATGTTGACAAAATCACTTTTATCCACTTACCCACTGATGTCTCCTTTGGATCCTTTTTTAAAAAAATGTGTCAGTTCTTCCTATCCTCCAGTACCAAAATTAAATTTAGTAACTTCCACATTTTGCCCAAATATTTCATATTTGAATCCTTTACGAATTCTTGGGTAGGTGCCACCAGGACCTGAAGATTTGGTAGTTTATCAAGATTTCCTCCTAGAGCTACCTCAGCTTGCTATTTTTGTTTCTATAAACACTCAAAGAATTTACAGTAATTAACTATTAAGACCATAAAAGAATGAATCTGAGGGTGAGCTGGATGGTCTAAAACTATATTCCTATTCAACAACTTTTAAATCTGAGGGAACCAGATGTTGTAACTCAAAAAACAATGCCTCTATATAATTCTACTTCTCCTGGTCCTCTTCCTCCTCATTCTTCCTTTTGCTTTCCTGATCATTTTACACTTTTTTTTTTTGCCAAGGTTTGTATTCCAATTTGTTCTCTTCTTTAAGACAAGCTTTCCACTTCCTGAAAGAAAACTCTTATCTTTTACCGTTTCCTGAACACTACTAGCCGCGCTGGCCTCTTCCTGAATTTGGTTGACCCCTTCTTCCTCTGTAGAATAAACTTAAAACAACCACCTGGTACTGTGAATAGATTTAGCCCCTTTTACATTTTCTTTCATTTTCTTATTGACCTTTACTGTTCATACACGACTACAGTATTTTTCTCTAGTCACCCCAATGCGCTAAACAAGGCCAAAATAGGGCTGCAGAGTTTCGTGTGCTGTCGGATCCCAGCCGTTGCATTACCGTCTTGTATGAAATGGGCTATTATTAAATCATAACTTGATTTATTTTTAGCAGAGCATGTTGAGTGAGCCCCAGCAACTCTGTTCTGCGAGCCTAGATTGTGGGTTAAGGTGCTGGGTGAACCAAACGGTGCTTATCGCTTAGTTTAATGACTCAAATAAACCCTTTTCTGGAATCACACAACACACTGAACATAAATTAACCAAATGAGTTTGATTCATCCATCAGACTACCCACAAAAGACTAATCGAGGTTTCCCCTGGCATGTTGTGTGAATGCAGGGGCATTGCCTTGACCTGACCTGGCCAGACATTGGGAGAACGAAGCCTACAACCTTACTGGGGAATGTTTGATTCCTTGGCGGCGCCTCAGAAAGGAGCGAGGTCGCCACTCCCCCCCGCAGCCACCAGCTCGGCCCCCGCCTCAAACACAGCCGGTTCCCCCCTCCTCTCCAGCTCCTCCTCCGAAGGGGCGGTCTGCGCAGGCAGGGGAAATAGCCGGGCAGCACCGCTTGCTCGGTGTGCTCCTGCCCAGCCCCTATCAGCCCCTGGAAACCTTCCTTTTGCACCCTCCCACCTGCTCCTTCCGCCCAGTCCACCCGCCTATAAAAAGAGAGGTTGGAGCTGGCAAAAAGAGACGGTGAAGGAAGCGAACGGCTGCGCTTTACTGCTGCTGAAAGCGGGCATCCCGCTCTGAAGGCTCGGGTGAGACCGGCCGGACCTTGTTCTTTGGACGAGGAAAACGGGCTTTTTTCCTGGACTAACGGGGGGAGACCCATTTGCGGGGCCGCCATGGAGGTGAGCGCCACACGGACGTCGTCGAGCGACATCGCGGACCTGAACAGTCAAGACGCCCAGACGGTGTGCGAAGCGCTGGGCCGCTACGAGGAAACGCTTCGCGGCGCCGTGAAGGAGATCCACGTGGATATCCAGGTCTTTAAGAACGGCGTGGACCGACAGGTGGCCGAAGTGTTGCGCTTGGCCAACCCGCTAGCCAGCACCGTAGCCGAACTCCAGCAAGAGAACCAGCAGTTGCGGACGCAGGTCGAGCATTTAGCTCAGCAGGTGGAGATCCTCAGCCGGGCAGCTGGACTCTCGGACGTCTTGATTTCCAAGCCGGTATCCCCGACGGCGGCCGCGGCATCGCCGAGGCTGGGAAGCAGCAGCAGCAGCAACAGCAGTCGCTTTGCTAGCCACGCTAGACTGTCCCTTTCCAGCAAGAGCCAGGTAACCGTGTGGCAGGAGCGGAAAAGCACCGTCTGTGAGACAGCTGCATGCAGAAATAACTTAATCATTGATCTCCTACCCCGCGTGGAAGGGATTCCCGGCGCGCTGTTGAGCCAGTCGGTTGCCCTCGGCCCTTCTGCCCCCGAGCTTGGTCAGATCTGTGGCTTTTCTCTTCCATCCCCCGACCTCCAGCGCCCCCTTCCCTCCTTTTTCCTCCCTGTTTGCATGATGCCCTCCCTCGGCGCGATTTAACTTCTGCACGCAGCTCCACCCAGAAGGTCACAGATAGGAAGAAATGGCTCTCGTACGCTCCGTCGGGGAACGTCTCGCGCTGCGCGAAGAGGCCACGCCCCCGTCCCCCCCTTCCCCTCCTCTCCCCCCCGAACCTGGATCTTTCAATATTAACCGAAATTCCCGGGCGGAGCAGTGGAAGTTTGCTGGACCAGGGTAGTCGTTTCTGCTATTGTATGGGTTCTCTTGGGAGCCTATTTGGTTCCATGCTGGGGCGGATGTTTGGAATCTATGTATGTGTATGGAATCGATGTATGGGTGTTTTGTTGCGGACGGGGTTTGCGGGCAATTCGTTTTGCGCCCCCCCCCCAAATCGCGTTTTGAGGGGCGGGAACGCTCCCTGCGAGCGCGTTGACTTCTTGCGCATGACTGAAACTGCGCTAAGCTGGGATCTCGTTGCTGCTAGGCGGGGCGATCGTGGGATAGGAATTTCGGAAAATTAGAAGGGGCAGGTCCCCTGCTGTCGCCCAAGCAAAAAGAAGCCATCCTTTTTAAGCAGATTGTCTTTGAAATAAAGCAGGGTTTTTATTTCAGGTCAGGCTTTCTTAATCACAGGCTTGATTTCATCACAAATGATCAAACTTTGGACACAAGTAAAGTGTGATCACAATATATCCTCCTGGCTTGGAAAGTTTTTCAAGACATGATTCTTCCGTAAAAGAATCGAAACAATTCCTCTGTTGAAGGAGAGGCGTTTAGCCAGGAGAAGGGACAATAAGAAGCAATGGAATCTTTCTCTTCAAGTCTTTGAAGAGCTTTCCTGTACTAAATGAACAGAATTTGCTTCATGTTTCAGAACCAGTGAGTTCATATTACAAGGAAGGGGTTTATAGGAGGGCTGTGCTAATCACAAACCTTTCGGCTTTCAATAAAATGTATTAGTCTGAAAAGATACCACTAGACTAGACTCCCTCTGAAATAAGGTGATCCTAAGTGGTATAATCTGTTTGAGAATAGAGCACAGACTGCTTTGTTTCATGCTGCAGGTTTGTGGTTCAGTGTGTTGTAGGAATCCAGTAGGTGGTGTGAACTAGGCTATTAGGTTAAGGTGCTTTATTTGTTTGGGCCTAATATGCTTTATGAACATGCCAACTAGGATCATGTTTTATTAACCAGGTACATTGTATCAACTCAACTATAAACTTGTAAGGTGGTGATTCATTCACTAGAATCTTTTAAAGAAGAGCCCAGGTGCCAGGACAGAAAGTGTTTTCTGCAGGAGGGAGTTAATTACACATGACTTTTGAGACGTCTCCAACTCTGATTCCTCTGAGGTTGTGTGAATCATGGTTTTCTTCTTTTTCTCCCACAATCCCCCTGGACGTCTCCATCTGACTGAAGCAGCTGCCTCCTTTTTCTGATTTAGCCTTTGCCCAGAGATATTTGAGGTATAGCAGTTGTGCCTATATCTGTCCAATGTAGAGTTGGCCTCTGTCTATTGTACTTCACATAAGGGATTCCCTTTTCCATCTCAGTAGGTGCTTCAGACAAGCTCCTTTCTCTCAAATTTTCAGACTGCAAATCGGTTGTTTTTCCACACCAAGTCAGTGAAACTCCCTATGGCTGCTCTATTTGCCTAGTATGGTAAAATTGCTTTGTGTTCACCTTGGCTATTAATGTTGTTCAAAAGTACCAGTTTATGGCGTTGAGTGAAATTAAAGAATGGATTAACTTTGTAACTAAGTTCAGTGTAGGCTATACAGAGGCGGTAAATTACCCCTAGATTATTTTATGATACTCTTCAAAGACAGTGGAAAACAAGAATGTGGTTTGTTGTACTCTTCATCCATGTAAAGAGGTTTAGAATGACAGAAGACCATCAGAAAGTCTTCCACTCAGAAATAAGCATAATTAGTCGCCATGCATTTGAGATAGCTTTGATGATTTAATTATGCACTATCAAGTTGTTTTCAACTCCTAGTTCCTACTTACGCAGATTTTCTCCATGACAAACTGTTCTTAATCTGTTCATCTAGGCCAGCGGTTCTCAACCTATGGGTCGCGACCCCATTTGGGGTCGATCGACCATTTCACGGGGGTCGCCAAGCAAGGCTGTCCGCCATTTTTTCCCCCTTTTCCGGCAGGTGCCTTACATCCCTTGGGCTGGGCCAGCTGGTGGTCGGCCTGCTCCGTCTCTGCCGCTTGCCAGCTACGCCTTGGCCGGTGCAGGGAGTGGAACCACGCATGCGCGGCGCTCCCGGGCAGGGAAAGTCCTCGACTTATGACCGGTTGGGTAGTCCTCGACTTACGACCGGTTTAGTCCTCGACTTATGACCGGTTTAGTCCTCGACTTACGACCGGTTTAGTCCTCGACTTACGACCGGTTGGGGTCGCGGCATTAAAAAGGTTGAGAACCACTGATCTAGGCCTTCCAACAGTGCACCCATTGCACTGTTATTGAGTCCATCCACCTTGCTGCTAGTCATCCTCTTCTCTTTCCTTCCACCCTTTCCTAGCATTAGAACCTTTTCTAGAGGATAAGATCTTAGGTTTATGTGTCCAAAGTAGGATAATTTGAGTCTGGTCATTTGTGCCTTGAGTGAGTACTTCAGGTTGATTTGTTTGATGATACATTGGTTTGATTTGTTTGGTTGTCCATTGTATTCTCAGAAGTCTTCTTCAGCATTAAGATTAAAAAGCATCCATTCTCTTCCTATCCTGCTTCTTCAAAATCCAGCCAGGAGGCTTAAAACCAGGATAGGTAGTTTTTGGTAGTTTGGGAATCGCCCTTAACATGCTTTGAATGGGCAAAGGCTATAATAGATTTTGTGGTAATGTAAAGTGGGAAGGGAAACAATTTTCTCTCCCCTCTTTCCCTGGTGACTGAGGTTCAGTTTCCTTTTAAAGTAGGATAAGTCTATATAAGATTTTAGATACCCCTTTCCATGTGTTTTGTGAATTGCTCTACACTTTCCAGAAAACAGTGAGAAGGTGCTTCTGGTGCCAAAAATAACATTCAGTCTTGTATCTTAGATTGTTTACCTTTACTTTAAGAGCTGTCTGAAAGGAGCAAGGGACTTGCACCATTATGTCTCCCACATACCTTCAAAAATGAAAAATATTGTCTGCTGGAGTGCTTTGTCCACACCTATCAGCCTGAGGGTAACTTACCACATACTGGACTGTATTTGTACAACACACCCAACCCAGTTTCTAAAGGAGCCCATTTGGGGGGGTCTGAAATATATTTTTCAACCCTAAACTATCCCAAATATCTGCATTTGCACAAGACACTAAGCTACGAAAACATTTACCAAGATTATACATTATATAAATGTAGCCATTAAGTTTTCTAATGACTTGGTTAAGTACGCTATACTGTATAAACACAGCAAAGATGTCTCTTTGCATAGATCAGCCTTGCAAATAATTCTCTCAGCGAAATGTCAAGGGTTGAATTGGAGGTCATGATTATGATAGGAAAAAGACACTCTACATATGCTCCAAGTAATTTCTCTCTCTCTTTTTTAAATGTACTCCAGGACACATCATAATGTATATACTGTTCAGATCCTAATCTGATCTGGTGTTGCAGCCTGCTGCCTCCTAAACTCATTGAAGACTGGTGGGATCTTGTGACTTTATTTTCTAAGCTCGGGCTGATGAAGAAGAGACTGGACAGCCATTTGTCTGAAATGGTATAGGGCAGGGGTAGGCAACCTTGGCTCTTTTGTGACTCGTGGACTTCAATTCCCAGAATTCCATACTGGCTCAGGAATTCTGGGAGTTGAAGTCCACGAATCACAAAAGAGCCAAGGTTGCCTACCCCTGGTATAGGGTTTCCTGCCTGAGCAGGGGGTTGGATTAGATCAGCATGGCTGGCTCAGGAATTCTGGGAGTTGAAGTCCACGAGTCATAAAAGAGCCAAGGTTGCCTACCCCTGGACTAGATGAACTCCAAGGTCCCTTCCAATTACATCATCATCATCATCATCATCATCATCATCATCATCATCATCATTATTATTATTATTATTATTATTATTATTATTATTATTATTATTATTATTATTATTATTATTACAGATGTAGTAATTGAAAAGAGCTTTGGACTTGAAACATAAACTATCAATCATTTAGTTAGCCCGTAAATAGAAGAATGTGTATTGGTTTGGGATATGGTGTCCTGCATCTGTACCAAGGACATTTCTCAAAAAGGAAATTTTCAAACTTGATTGTACAGCACCCTTTATCTTTCATTTAGGAATTACTAATTCTCTTTCTGGCAATATTCATATACCTATGCCCTTACCCTCACATTCTCAGTTTATTCCTTCAACATTCCCAAATAGCTGGAAATTGACTCTTGTGGCAGGTGGTGGGCCTTTGTAAAATCTTTATGAAGCCAAATGTTACAGAAATTAGGTAGGGCAGACAGACCTGTCTGTCTATGGAAATTCCCAGTCATCCAAGGTTTTCCCAAGGGCGTTTTTTCAAAAGGCAACTGGACTTTCTTTGTTTTTCCTTGAAGACATTTCGCTTCTCATGCAAGAAACTTCAGTTCTGGTTCTCTCAGAACTGAAGAAACTTCTTGGATGAGAAGCGAAACGTCTTCAAGGAAAAACAAAGAAAGTCCAGTTGCCTTTTGAAAAAGCACCTTTGAGACAGACCTATCATGCTGTTTCTTTTCAGGCTAAGTGAAGAAAATAAGCAAGAAATAAGAAAGAAAAATAAGAAAAATAAATTATAGGTATGAGATAAGAAAAGGAAACATAGCTAAAAGAAGTTTCACCAGACATTCCATGCATAGTAGAGAACGCTATCGACCTTATTTGTACCTGTGCCACATATGCACCATTCTCTACCAAGTATGGGTGAGCTGGATTTAAGCACCAGACTATGAGAATATATAGTAACAAGATCCCTGCTGTTGAGTCAACTCACAGGGCTTGTCTAAAAATTTCATCAGCAAGTCAGGAAAACAACCACCGCTTGCCTCTACCACGTTTGACTATCCATAGTTATATTCTCTGGCAGCATTTATATACCATCTTTAACCAGATCAATTGACTACCTAGCAGCTGAGTGTAGTTCATTAACCAGATTCAGTATGCTCTCTGGAGAGTAAATTCCAGATAGCTGTCTTGCTAGTAATGGTGATTTTATCCCCTTCTTTCCCTAAATAATGTTTTTGAAAACCTTCTCAACTAGTGGTCTGCATCCTATTTTGTGGTGATTGAATTCTGAAGGTTAGTCATACCTGAGGTCCGTGGTGGCAAGCCTGTGGCACGCGTGCCGCAGGTGGCATGCAGAGCCCTCTTCTGTGAGCATGTGCACCGTCGCCCCAGTCCTAGGCCTTCAGCTGGCTTTTATAAAACCTTTTCGCTTTAGGCCTCTGCCGCCGTGTGCAAAAAAAAAAAAAAAGGTTCAATCACTCAATCAATTTCAACTTCTCGCAGGGAAAGTTGGAATTAATTGATTGAACTTTTTAGTCCCACCCAGTCTGCCGTTACCACTGAAGCCACGCCCACTCAATGGGCCACGCCCACCCAATGGGCCATGCTCACCCAATGGGCCACGCCCACCCGGCACCCGATGATACATAACTGGTCTTTGGGTTGCAGTTTGGGCACTCGGTCTCTAAAAGGTTCGCCATCACTGCCTTAGGTTATCTCTGCTAATTTTTGCTCAGTGAAGCTGGTGTGTTTCACAAAGGGGGGAAAAGCTACCATAGCCCAGTTTCAAGGAGTTTTGACTCCCCCCCCCATTTAACCTTTTTTATTTTCTTAATTTAGAAATGAGTTATGGGAACAGCCGATGCAGATTTCGGGAATGGTCAGCAAAGTAATTTGGGGGATTTCCTAAATTTCTCTCTTTCTCTGGCCAAATACTGATTAGCACTTCCCTATAAACTCCTGGAGAAACCCAATATGTACAAGTCAAGATGGATGTAACCAAATCATAGATAACCTGACCAGCTGGGGAAGGGCCACAGTTGGAGTATTAGCTGCAGTTGTGAAAATACTGTACATTTATCACAGCTATCGCCTAGAAATGAAGTGCTGTTTCTTTTGCTTAAAATTGGACTGCAAAAAATTCAAATAACCACCAAGGAGCCTCTAGAGATCTGGATTTTGGCAGCCCAGATCTGGTAGCTCCAGGATCTAGAATGAGCTTCAGCCACGAGTATTTTGTTGATGTGCCAAGCTATCCATTACTAACTCACAAAAGCAATACCAGTATTGTTTGAGGTGTTAATAAAATTAAGGGAGCCAGAAGTGCCTAACACTACTTCTAAGGATATTGTAAAAAAAAAAAAGAAAGAAAAGAAAAAAGAAAAACCCAACCCTACCTCTATCCAAGTAGTCACCAGGAGACAAAATTATCTTCAGTGTGAATGTCCAAATGTGCTGCTCTCCTAGTTTATATGAATTCTAGGTTCACCATTTGACTATCTTGTGCTCAGAGGAATCTAAAGAGAATAAAGCTGGGTAACAACCGAGTGCATAGTGCTGGAAAATGGCAAGACTCATTTATTTCATCAAACTCATAATTGTTAGTTGAATTGGTTTTAACAATACTGTATTGATCTGAATTTAATTTAATTTTATTTAATTAAAATTACATTTTTAATTGTATTAAAATTAAAATACAATTTTAGAATACAGATTAAAGTGTACTTTGTGCACAAAAAAGCAAGCTATAAACCAAAAAGTGAGAAGATAGTGAGTCAATACTATTATTGCTTATTATTATTATATCATTTATGCTTCTAAGAAAGTTATCTAGTTAGCTAACGAAACATCTGCAAGCAAACTGTTGAGTCCTTGCTGCCATCTAGTAGTCATTCTGACTTTTGCAACCCAGATATAGTAATCCTATTTCTAAGTGTTGTTGGTATATAATTGCCATTTTTTAAAGATATAATACATTTGTTTGTTTGAATATAGCATATTATTCAAACAGAACAACTGTGTCTTTTTAATCAATGTTAATATTGAGCATATTGTATAAACCCAGCCACATGGTTGGCAGTGATCTGGACCACCAGGGTAAGTGATGAAGTACCATTACTGATGTATTTTCCTTATGCTCTTAATTACCCAGAGCCTCCAACATCATGCCAATAAATGGAATGGCTGTTCAGGTCTGTCCTTCTTCACAAAGTTGTCTCTCAAGGTTTCTTTAAGTCAACAGACTAAACTCTGGCTGAACAACCAGTCTAAAGTCTGACTTCCATTGTTTATCTCCTTGGCTAGGACGTTTTTCTCCTTTGTGCAGCCTCCAGCCAGAATCTGGTGTGGATTTCTTGAGCTCAAGCACAGGGCAGCAGTACACTGTCTCTATGCTGTATTGTTCAGGTGGCTGTGGCTTGGAACTATGGTAGGTGCCGTGACTATTTAGCAGTGATGTCATCCTAAGGAGCTAGGCCCCATTCCTGGCCTTGGGGAGAGGAGAGAGAACACTGGCAGCTGGAGCTCCCTTGAACTGCCATCAAGTGCAATAAACATCCTCTCCATTTCTATCAATGTGATTAATGGCCTTGCTGGGGAATAGTCCTGGTGTATGTTACGCCAAGTGGCACTGAAGGCTGACAGCTGCAATGGGATATGAAGTAAGGATTTTTGAGGGATGCGTATTTTGTTCCTGTAAATCTATGATGGTCTCGTGAGTGATTCCCAAGTTGCTTGGAGCTTAACTCCAGCATTTTAATCTCACCATGATGTGTGATGATCCTTCACACTTGGAAACAGCTGGAGTTAGACTTTCTGCACAAGGAGGAAAAAGATCAGACTNATGAAAAGTCAGATACTGTTACAAGCTTGTGGAATTAATTTTCTTATTTTCTGACAGGAACTCAATAAGGTAGTGCTTAATCAATTGAGCTCTTCCTGTATTTGTTCAATTGGAGATTGTAATCTATAAGAGCATTTGTTTTCAGTTGCTGACCCCTCCTCATAATAGAATTCCTCCCCAAGTGTTCAATTGTCCCCTCCTCTCCTGCCTTTTCAAATGGTTGTTCCATCATGCCTTTGGGACAAGGTTGCTGTGACTACTGCATTCTTCTGCACATTGAATTAGTTCTTTGGTTTTTAATGTTCAGATCATCAGTTTATGTATAACTGTATTACGATTCATAGTTTTTAGTTTTGGTTTAGATTATGAAAATGATGATCTGTTTAGCTTCTCTATTAATCTTCTCTGTTTTAATCCAAGTTGTAGATTTTGGGAATTGTACATTGCCCCAGGTTGAGAGGCTTTTAAGCCTTATAAACAGGGCTGTCTGTAAAAGGTTAATAAATTGCCATGATGCAGCTGTAACTATATGATTGAAGCCCCACCTCATTCTAATATGTATTACTGTATATTGAAAAGTGTGAGGCTTTGATTGCTTGGTCAAAGCAGTCATTTTGAGTTCTCTCATCTCTCCCAATAGATGATGCCCCTGCTTGTAAATTAAGAAATAAGCATGTCTGTTTCTTGGGTGGCTGGGTGATTCAAAATGGCCCCTGCTTCAGAAACTTTGTTTTTCAGGACATGATTTGGTGTAGTGGTAAGTGTTGTCAGGCACAAAGAATCAGGACCATCCGTTAGATTGCAGCCATACACAAAAATCTAGTTAACTAAAGTTCAACACTAAACTGGCGCAGGATAAGGGTCAATGGAATTCAGGATAGTTTACACTTGAACCACTTGTGGAAATCTAACGACTCTAAGCTGATGACATGCTTAACTCCACTTCCCCTTCCAGCTATGTCTGCTCTTCTCTCACAAGTGTAAAATATGAATGGATGGCAACAACACTCCATCCGGGCATTTTTAAATGTCACAACCTTTCATACTTATGAGTTTAAGCCACGTTTAGCCAGTAATGCTGCTCTATTGCAAAGTAGGAGTCCAGCCTCCTTCAGTCCCTCTCCTCTAGGATGAGCAATGCTGGTTTGAGGATAGACTTGCATCCTTTTAGTCAGATGTTATTGAGGATAGTATAGAAGAATCTCACAGAGGTATTTTCAAACAGTGGATGAAATTCAATTAAAATTTAAAACTGAGGAACTAAAGTAGTTGATTTGCAGGAAAACAAATCAAATGTATGCTGGGGAACAGCTTTTATTCTTGGCCTCAGAAGAGATAGATTTAGATTTAATAACATTACTAGTACCTCATACATATTGTAGCTATCTTCCCTCCCCAATCTTTTTAAAAGAAATGTAGCTACAAAAACATAAGTACATGTTCTGGTGGGATGGCTTTAAGCCACTTACGTAGATCGCATATTGCATTAATCCATAGGTTGTATAACCCCATATTTTATTAAATAAAACACCCACTGTAAGCCATAAACCAGGGTATGTAAATCACAACTGGCTGGGTTCCCAGAATTGACTAAGCCATAATAAAGTTTGTTCTTTTAGCTTTGTGTATTTTGTGAGCACAGCCGCAAATTCTCTTTACTCTAAGCACGTCTTTTTCCTTTCAACAGTGCAATGCGCCCTCTTCCTTTTGGCAAACTTGGGAGCTGGGGGTTTCCAATCTGGAATAGCCATCTGCTCTCTGGTGTTTGCGACTCCCGCCCCCCAAGTCAGTGCTTGTAACAGTGTGCATTATCTTCTTGCCTTTGCAGAGTTTGGACATTGAGGATGAAAAGAACTTTATGAGCAAAAGAACTCCTGATTCAGCCATAACCGAGAATGGGCATCAGTTGTCAGGAGGTAAGGAAAGGAAGTCCTTTTAGTGAGAACATAAATCTTTACTGTTTCTGATGTGGTGAAAGTTAAACAGGCTTTTGGAGTGATGTTGCACAGGCTCTGGAAGTTTGATTCACTCTTTTTTCCCCCCTGCCTATATTACAAGAAGAAAAATGTCCATTTAGGCTAGGAATGAAATAAAAAGTGTCTTCTAAATCACTAAATATTTTAATGTTTACCACATTGAGCTTAAACCCTGGTGCATGGCCAGCGTTCTTTTAACAACTTATAGTTCAAAGTAAAATGGTATTTCATGTTAAAAGAAGAGGTTGGTTCTTTTAAATATGTGATTAAGATAATCATATGTAGTACCCTATTTAGTATTGTATTTAGCAACTACCTCTGTTTAGTGGTCATTTGCAAATACGATAGTAATAAAAAAATATTTTCTGAACAATGTGCACATTTACAACTAAATTTAGTATGCTTGACAACAATGCATGCCAGAGTGAGAGTAAGGCTGGCATAGCTGAACAAGAACTTTATTTAGATAAGATGGGAGCAACCACTGTTCTTTGCAGTATCTCCCTCTCAATCGTGTCTTTAGCAACCATTTTACTTAAGAACTTGGTCATTGGAATGGAACTAGTTATTAAATGGGGAGTGGGTATATAGGAATAATTTCCTAAATAAATATTGACCTATTTTTAAAGCAAGATATTTATTGAAAAGTGAGGTCCTTGGTGCTCTCTTGAGTTTGGTTGTTTTCTTGCAGATGTTTTCTTGCAAACATCGAAGCTCAGAGAGCACTAAGGACCCCATTTCAACCCTGAGCTACAAATATTCTCCTTTATTTATTGAAAAGATAAAACAGCATAAACAAAGTCATAAATGTCTTTTAAGCAAGTAAAAGAAAGCCTATAATGAAAGCATAGATTTTCTTGGTTCCATATCTAAACATACTCCAATAAACCTCAAAATAGAATAACTTTTTTATAATAGAATAATAATTTTATTGTCACTTTAAATGTACACTAATCAGCATACTTTAAAAATTATGCATATACCCACATACACACACATATATGACCCAGAGAAACAACACAGTCTTGTTGTTATGAGATTGTACAGTCAGATAAAAGTTGGAGATTGGTTTCTTGTTGTTTATATGCTGTAATAAGGCAATTACTTGGCCATTTGGACTGAGCTGTCATTTACTTAACTCTGCTTAAAGCAGTGGTTCTCAACCTTTTTAATGCCGCGACCCCCAACCAGTCGTAAGTCGAGGACTAAACCGGTCGTAAGTCGAGGACTACCCAACTGGTTGTAGGTCGAGGACTTTCCCTGCCCGGGAGCGCCGCGCATGCGTGGTTCCGTCCCCTGCGCCGGCCGAGGCGTAGCTGGCAAGCGGCAGAGACGGAGCAGGCCGACCACCAGCTGGCCCAGCTCAAGGGAGGTAAGGCACCCACCGGAAAAGGGGAAAAAAATGGCGGACAGCCTTGCTTGGTGACCCCCGTGAAATGGTCGATTGACCCCAAATGGGGTCGCGACCCATAGGTTGAGAACCGCTGGCTTAAAGGAATCTCATATTTGTGGCATTTGAACTTTCCTTATTCTAAGAAAAATAGTATTTAGAAAGAAGAACTCCCTGGAAAATATAAGACAATGTAGAATTTTAATTAAAAAAAATGATCCCAACATAGTTTTGCTCTTTTCCTCACCAGCCCTGGCTAGGCTCAGCCAAGAAACACTCTTCTCTTCACTTTTCAGATTCTCCTCTTGAGGCACATGCTCCAGCCAAGTCTTCGCGGATGCCCCACCAGCCTGTTACTGCAGTAACCAGAGTATCGGAAGCATTTTCAGGAGAAACTGTTGGATTGCCAGTTGTGCCAAACTCTCCCGGTGGGCAGCAGAGCGATGCTCATAATGAGGCTGTGTCTAAAACATTGATTCAGTCAGGTAAAATAGTGGATGACTTGAATAAAATAATTCCCATTTGTGCAAGTCTAGCTATGCAAAGGTACCTATTAGTGCTATGCACCCTTTGAAAATGATGTGGAAGAAACGCGTTGAACTTCACAAGAATACAGTGCCTCTCCACTGTTCGTTAAAGCCGTTCTCTTTTCTTCGTGTCCTAAGAAACTAATCATGTGATAAGTCAGCTTTTAAAGTGGGAGCACTTTTATTCAGGATTCTGCAGAACCCCCGAAAAAAAGCTGTGCCTTCTTTAATGAATAGCAGAGAGGTTCTCTACAAGACTCCAAATATGATGGAATTACTGGAAGTGGTCTTCATCAATAACCCAGGAGTGTCCCATTGCATCCATTCCTCAAAGGACCATTTCTGGTGCAAGTTTTTACACACATCTTTTCAAAAAGATGTTAGAGCTAAACCTGTGGGGAAATGTTTGTTTCGAGTGACGCTTAATGGTATTAGCATTTTAATTGGGTGTGCATATTTTGGGTTTTAGTGGTGATAGCTTTCTTGTACATAAAAATTGGGCTGGTTCTTTTTTTTAAAAAATAAAAAACATCAGAGAAGTGCGGCTTTGTTCTGGGAAGTTTTCTCTCTTCCCACAATATATTTAACTTGGTTACAAAGTTAAATCATTTTCTGGGTTTGCACACTCACATAGAATCTCATGTTAATCAAATGGGCTGTTGGGCAAATGCTGACTTGTTGGAATGTAGCCTTTTGATAGGAGGGAACCTAACCTGGCCTGATGGGTTAATGGTCTAATCTGGTTTTCTTCTTCTCTCTATTAAAAAAAATACCATTTTTTACTCTTTGTTTTTTTTAAAAAAAGATATAAAAGGTGCTAGCAGTTCGACCCTGAGCACTGCGAAGAACTGGAATGTGAGTTCAGTGAGGACAACAAATGCTTCCTTTACTTCAGGTTGGTAAATGGGTTTGCATATATTTTCCTATGTTTGAATAAGACTTTTCTGTACTATTGTACTATGGTATGGAAAAATTGACACGATAAATAGGTTTCCAAAGACCTCCACATTCAGGTTCCATGCATTTACCCTCAAATATCTGAAATTTAAATGCATATTTCTTATTTATTGTTTTAATGCTTTATATGGTATTTTAATTATATGACTGTAGGCCGTCTAGAGTCACCTCAGTGAGATAGGCGGCACAGAGGTTTAATAATAAAATTAGAAAAAAATGCAAATGCTGTCTGACTGACATTTGTATCAGGCAGATGTTTGGCTGAAGAACAGGCACCTCCACTGAAAGATGAAGAACTTGGGGACTAGAAACTGTGTGGAAACCAGATAGGTTGATTAGAGGGGAAGCAGAGGTGTCCACAAGATCAGAGGATTTGACGAAAATGATAAAAATAGTCCATGTTCTTCTGAAACAAGCTCTGTCCCTTTGATTTGTGCATTGTGTGATATCGCGATCCACAAACAAAAGGGGTGGAGTTTGCAGCGTGACAGCCCAATGCTGTTTTTGTCATCAAAATTAGCAAGTAGGTAGATTCTTTTGGTGCATGGTGAAGGCATGGGCTGTTCTTTATCATAACACTGGCATCTTGCTGATTTCAACACATAGTGCTCATAGTGTCATCAGCTGAATATGGAGCTTCTGCCTTAATGGTCCTCAGATGAGCTTTGATACCAGACATGGATGTCTGCCACAGATTCCACAATGTCAAGAATGGATGCAACAGGGCAATTGAAGCCTTGCCTCTATTTATCATGCGTTATGCGCATTGCATATTTGGAAAAAGAGACAGGGCTTCAATCTTCTGTCACTCCTACTATTTTGACATGATTAACTCCCTTCTGCCTTCTACACACACTCCAATTCCAGATGCCACTGAGAGAGATGCCTCAATAGCCACTGTGAGAAATAATAGGACTCTGTATAATTCAAAAATTGATTAGGTGGACTGCTTCAGACCTTGTGAAAATGAGCACAGCACCCTTCTGTTATTCTTCAAAATAGGCTTGGGCTTTTTTAGGCTTCCATATAAATCTGGGGAAAAAAGCTGCTGCTGCTTTAAGGATTTTTTTAGTGGGTCAATTTTTTAGGCCCATCTTTTTCAAATTCAGGCTGGTATCTGAAAATGATGTGGCTACTTTAACTAGTAGGGAGGTTCAGTCCTTATCCAGAGTTCAAAGCACTGATTTGGAATCATTTTTAAGTCCTAAACATGCTGAACTAGAGAGTTTTTGATGTAGTCCAGCAGGGTCAAGTGTTTGTATGGTGACCAATAAAAATCTGAATCTAATTTTTAGGAGATTTTGATGCATTTATACTTAATAAGATTATCAGAGGACTTTATATCCTGATCCAGATTAAGATCAGTTTGCCTTTCCTGGGTTTGTAATCCAAAGATGAAATCTATATAATAAAGAATTCCTCTTGGATGACATTGATGGATCAATCATCAGTACCAGTGAATTGCAGATTCCAACCTCTTCTCTATTCAGGGCATGATTCCATTCCCCCCTCCCTGCACACATTTAGAGTCAGGCATTCCACCCACCCCCTCAAAAACAAATGCTGTAGGAGAATGATTTGGAAGAGAGCCAATTTCTTTATTTAATTTTTTGTGCAGATAAATTTTCTTCGGGGACAAAATCCACATCGACTGTAAACTATGGAAGCCAATCTAGTGAAAGGTGAACATGCTTGGATTTGCAAGTATCTGCTGTTTGGGTTTTATTGTAATAGGGGCACAGCATGGACATACTGTTGGGTGGAATAGACATTGGGTCTTTCCCCACTGCTTACCTGTGGAAAATTTGTACCTCTATGAAATGTGTTGTTCCCATTTCCTATTATGCCATATTCTTCCCTTTGCTTGCACTGTTTCCAGTCATTGCAGTACTCTTGACTTCCCACCAAAGTGATGAGCCTATAGATTTTACACATCTTGAAGATGTCCATGGATGGTGTTAAAGCATCGGTCTCCAACCTTTATGGTTTGGCAGCCCATCCAGGGCGGGAGCAGAGGGGAATCGGCCCACTGCTCCGGCAAGTCAAGCTGCGCACATGCACATTGGCTTGCCGCTCAGGCAAGTTGAGCTGCGCATGTGCACGCCAGCCAGCCAGCTGGTAGTGGGCCATGACCTGGGGGTTGGGACCTCTGTGTTAAGGTAAGAAGGGAAACATTACTTCAACAGTAGTACAGCTAAGAACACTTAAGCCTGTCTCATTCTGAAGCAGGGGACAAAATAATTGCAATGTTATGGGTATATGGCAGAAAAATATTAGTAGAAGACAGTAGTATGCACCAAGATGAAACTAAACTGACAACACAGGTGTGGTAACGTCACATGCAATGCCACTGTTCCATACTTGTTTCCCGGTGTCCAAGTTCATAAAGTTTGTATGATTACATCCTCGTGCCCATGTTGTCATTTGCCCTCTGTTTTTACTCCCTGAAAATGTTATGAGCCTAGAAATGTTCGTGCTGCGGTTATGGCCAGTGGGGAAAGGCTCATTGGTTTGTTTTGTTTAATCAGGGCTTATTAACTAAACTATATTTGGCTGGGTTCTCACATCACATTAAGCCATAAAGTAGGAACTGAGTTTAGCACAGTTTTTTTTAATTGGGAAAAATATAAATGGGAAGTCAGCATGTTATAGAACAAAGCTCCACCCCCAAGCATAACCTTTATTTCCAAAAGTGCATCTGGGCCCTGCATAGAAATAAATAGTAACAGGAAATAAAAATGATAGGAGCTGCAGCCTATTTAGGTGTAACTTCAGCCTTTGGTAAGTGGTCATTGTTTGTTTTTTTTTACTATACATATCTTCCCTGGCTGCTGTGTATTGAGAGTGCCCATGTCATGGTCTTCAAATTTCAGATATGCCTACTGATTCAAATTGTGTCAAAAATATGTAGGGGACCTGATGTAGCATACTATATGAATCCAGCTATTGTATTTCATCCCTTTTGGAGAATCCAATGGGTCATCCTTTGCAACTGTGTTCTTTTGAAGTGTATTTTCTCTCTTTTTTGGGGGGGGCAGTGTCGCCACAAGCCAACAAACCCAGGCTTCAAAGTCCCACTCTTCACCTTCTTCAGTCCATCGACAAGTGGAAAAGCGAAGGGAGCTGGTGAGATCTCAGACCCTGCCCCGGACCTCAGAAACTCAATCTAGAAGAGCACTCTTTGAGAAGTTCGAGCAGGATGCTGGAAAGTATGTTGGGTCCAGTTCAACTTTTAGAGAGTTGGTTCAGGAAAGGCCTGAAGGGGATCCAAAACAGCTGCCTTAAATGAGGTCACAGTTTCTAGCCTAATGGTTTGCACTTGTTTGTCTGCAGCACAAGGCTATGCCAGAAGCTCTATTCTGGTAAAAACACAACTATTTAAGAAAAATGCAAAATTGGCTAATCCTCAATACAGTATAGTTCCTACTTTAGTTTCAGCAGTTAACTAAGGCAGCATATTTAGCTGACGCAAAACAGCACAAATCATTGCAATGTTCTCTTAACTAGCATGCAGGAAAAAAGGTCTTAAAAATTTGTTTTACTTATGCCAATTCAGTGGAGGAGTTGAATAGGAGAGAAGGGATTTGAATGGGAAGGTAAAAGCTAATGTTCCTTCAGATTGCTGGTGTTCATCGTATATACAGGATGACAATATTCAAATGTGTTCTCTACCTCTGACAGTTCCTCTGTGATGAAATAGGAAAATTCTGGGTAAAGGTTGAAGGAGCTGGGTTTTTTTTCCATTTAAAGTACTACCTCTCTAGATAACAGTATCGATCTCTTCACTTTGTGTTCCTCATTTGTTCAGGGGGAAGAGTGTGGGCCGGACCAAACTCAAGAGATCCCAGAGTTTTGCAGTTGCCAGTGCCAGCAGCATCAAGCAAATCCTCTTGGACTGGTGCCGGTCCAAAACTATTGGCTACAAGGTAGGTAAGGAATTCTGTAATCCCTCCCCGCTTGTTCACTGTTTCACTTTGTGAACCCATATGAAGTACCGTAATACAACTTCTGGTTCCTCACAGATACTTAAGTTCAGGCTTCTCTACCCCAACTCTGTCAGATCCTTCTCCTGAATTACAGTACTTGCCTTCTCCTTCTTCTGTTCTGACACCCTACTCTTCCCCCACCCACCCCCAGCACATAGATCTGCAGAACTTCTCCTCTAGCTGGAATGATGGGATGGCTTTCTGTGCACTGGTGCACTCTTTCTTCCCCGAAGCATTTGAGTACCACACGTTGGACCCCACCAAGCGCAAGGAGAACTTTGAACTGGCATTCACAACAGCTGAGTAAGTAGGATACTACCGTCATAGGTTGCCTGCTGTAGATTCTGCTGCAGGTTTGTATTAGTTGCACAGAGCTCTTAATTTTCCTCGGTTAAGAAGGCTACACTTTGACATCCTTGTCTGATAATGAAAAAAATATGAGGAAATTAATTTTGAGTAAAGTTTTGTAAGATGGTAGGTTGGTACTTATCCCCTTGAATGATAGTTTTCCTTCATTTTCCCAGTTCCCAATTTTTCTAAATTGCCTTGCCTTCTAAATCTGATGCCTTGCTTCCCTTTGTAGAAAAATGGCCAACTGTGACCGCTTGATTGAAGTGGAGGACATGATGCTGATGGGCCGCAAACCAGACCCGATGTGTGTCTTCACCTATGTGCAGTCTCTCTACAACCATCTTCGGCGCTTTGAATGAATCCAGGAAGGCCATGACTCTTAGAATGGGACTGCTCCACAACTGCTTTTGTGCTAATGTTTGGTGCTGCTATACAGCTGCTTGCCATCCCTGCCGAGGGAAGTCCCAGGCTGCTGGACACAGCCACAAGCCAAAGAGAAAGAAAAGATAAAAACAGTCAAGATTCCTGGGCAGCTAGAGCTCTTGCTGAAAAAAGATAAAGGGCTAGCAGTTCCTTCCTTGTTCTCTCTAGGCAGCTGTGAATAGAGATTCTTGTTCCAAGAATTTTCTTTTAACTGTATGTGCAAGCTGACTTGACCAAATTGACCTAGAAGGATAATTCAAGCATGATCTCCCCTCCTCCTCCTCCTCCCTGTCTTCCTTCCATAGATGTCTCTCAAAAGTCTATATGCTATGTCTATCATTTGTGGACAGCTATGCTATTAGTAGCTTTGTTTTCTATCCCCCTTCTTTTTCCTGATTCCACTTCCTTATGCTCTGGAATTTCTGGGATAGATTTCTGGGATAGATTAAGGCCTAGAGACAGATTCCAGTGTGGATAGTTTGAAGGCTAATGTGCAAATTCTCTTGATCACAGGGGCTTCTTGAATACTTGTAGAACTCAGCCTGTTTCCAAAGGCTGCAGTATTGAAACCCGTTTTCCTTCAAACCAAAAGACTTGCTTGTACATTAAAAAAAAACACTCTTGCAATAATGGAGTATATTAACATGCATGACCACAACTGACACTTCATCACAATTTGCTCCAGCGTTACTTTTCCCCAGTATGTGTTAATCTGTCACCTGAAAGCTGCATGCTGAATCCTGAATCGGACCCAGTCAGGCGATATTATCTGATACTGGAGCAGGCATTGGCAACCATGTGAAGGTTATCAGATTTAGCATTTAGGGAAAAGAAAGTCCACATGAAAGGTTCAGAGAAAGGCAACAAAGAAAGGGACAATGAGGCAGAAAAGCCATAAAGAAAGGTGCAGTGAGGCAATCTGGCTGGAGGAGAACGTCTGTATTATTTTTCCTAGTTGTGGGGAGGAGTTTATTTTTTAAAAACTATATTAAACCTGTTATAGGTGTACATTATGATGTAGTAGGAGCGGGCTCGGGGGGGGAGGCAGAAAAGAGAGTTAGGGGGTGCATAACCCTAAGTTCTGAGGTTGCTCATCCTGCAACAGAGCAAGCTTACCCCAAATAGCTATGGCGATGCACAAGGACTGTGTGGAGAGACTCTTGTGGGCAGATAGTTGAAATTCTGCACAATACTTGCATACCTTAGTCTTCTGGTCTTGAAGGAATGAGGAGAATTTGCTCTTTATGATATACATCAGACTCCCAGGTGGTGATTTCCAGAAAGGAAACTGATTACAGAAAGAGCACCATTGAGTTCAAAATATTTGTCCAAAATATTTGAAGTAACTGGTGCCAGATACATCAGTCCTGGTGCATGCTAACATGAGAATTCTGGACGGTACCAGTTTGGAAAGAGTTATCCTAGAACAGTGGTTCTCAACCTTTTTAATGCCGCGACCCCCAACCGGTCGTAAGTCGAGGACTAAACCGGTCGTAAGTCGAGGACTAAACCGGTCGTAAGTCGAGGACTACTCAACCGGTCGTAAGTCGAGGACTTTCCCTGCCCGGGAGCGCCGCACATGCGTGGTTCCGCCCCCTGCGCCGGCCGAGGCGTAGCTGGCAAGCGGCAGAGACGGAGCAGGCCGACCACCAGCTGGCCCAGCTCAAGGGAGGTAAGGCACCCGCCGGAAAAGGGGGAAAAAATGGCGGACAGCCTTGCTTGGCGACCCCCGTGAAATAGGTTGAGAACCGCTGTCCTAGAAGCATTTGCTCTGGTAACGTGTGTGAGATTTGTGCTCAACATCTTTTGGATTTGGGCTGAAACTTATCCAAACCCATCACTAATTAGACTAAGCTATTTACATAACATGTTAATTTCCTCTTGATCCAGTTAACTGTGTTGTATGATGTGTGATGTGAATCCCAGGGTCATGCAATTTTCTAAACACGAAAACCAGATGAACAAAACCCAACTGCTGGGTTCGCATAGCCTCTTTTGCATGAAGAAACCAAATTGTGGCTTAGGTTGGTGGCCTGATTCACACAAAATGTAAGACAACAGCAGAGATCCAAGAACACAATAAACCACATTCTATCTAATGTAGCTTCATCTACCACGTTTGGTCATGTACACTTGTGTATGTTTGGAGCAGGGCAATTATGTCACAAGTTAAGACTTTATTCAAATGAAAATAATACAAATCGGCCATGATTGACAAATTATGGAATTTGTACCATTTGTATGATGTCAATGGCTCATGTGATGTCATACTGACTTTTACAGGCATCTATGTAATCGTAGCCATTTGGCTATCCTGAAGCAGCAGGAATAGGAATATGTGTGTTTTGGGGTGAATTTGTGCTTTTTAGCTGTCTGGCCCACACAACTCTGCCACTGCAGACCCCCATCAGCTTCTTTCCAAGGTGTTTCCCTGCACAGTCAATAGCTTGCTCACAGCAATTTCCTACCCTGGGGCTGTACAGAAGGCCACTATGAAACAAATAAAATAAAGGCAGCTTTGTGTTTGGTCCTTATTTTATTCTCAGGAGCAAAATGCATGAACTTATAAACTAATTCATAGTAAGATGACGAATCAAAAGAGTGGAGTCAGATAATGTAATATCCTAAGCATTAGAATGGCTGATCCTTCCCAAATTTGAGTGGGTAAAGTTTCAGCCCTTTCTAGACTTCATGGATGAGGGGATAGAAATAATAGAAATGTTATTTTAAAAATTCATACTACTGCAAAGAATCTCCTGCTTGAGCAGGGGGCTGCATTAGAAGACCTCCAAGGTCTCTTCCGGCTCTATTCTGATTGATTGCATCAATCTACCAATTGTCCATCGAGCTAAATGATGCTATCTCTGATTGGAAAAGACCCATCAGCCCGCGTTTTTCATTGTCTGTTTCGTTGAGAGAACCACGAGTTAGCCAGTCACACGTTGGCTAAGTGTGGCACGAGTCCCACGATTGTTAACTTCGGTTTCAAAGTACCCTGCGGACTCGGCAACCAGGCTAATTGTGGATGCTGTCAGTCACCTATTTGGGTGAAACTTAACCAAGTCACTTAAAGACAAGGAATTACATTCACACAATATGCCAAACCTGATGTTTGTTAGGTTGATCTTGTTTTTCAAACCAGGCACCGGTCTGTATATTATTCATTTAAGTGTACAAATATAAAATGCGGATTAACCTAGTAACCAAACGAAGCAAAGGTTGTTGAAGTAAGTAAACATTTTTGGAAATAAAATCTCTGAAGAGAGGAGGCCCTAATATTCCTGACAGAAGAACGAGGAGAGGTCAAGGTAAAATCACACTTCAAAACTAAGGAAACTCCTAGTCTCCGAAGTGTCTCTCTTTTTCGGGCTGCTGCAAAGATCCGGAGTATGACAGCGAAGAGTTGGAAATCTATTGGTCGTCCGGATTTTTGCAGCCAGATGTGGCAGTCCTACCTGCAAATCCGCTTGTCCGTCGCATCAAAGGCGAGATCAGAGAAAAGGATCCCTCAGCTTTCTATGCTGCAGGATTTGCGCCCTTCACCACTTTATCTGCATCTCTACAGCGAATCAACCCACCTGGGGCTAAACCTTCGATTCATTTGTGTTAAAATTGCTGCCGACGGGATCAGGATTTGCGTATTCAAATATCTTGATCTCGCGCCTCTGTTGATTTATTCATTCATTCATTCATTTTTCTTACGGGTTTATAAAGAGCAGCAGCCAATCACGGCTCCGTTCTACAGCGCCTGCCTCGTTGCCATAGGAGGCGTCGCCCTATTTCCATGGAAACAGGTTTGTTGTGCCTGCTTTTCCGCTTTCCTACGCCCCGATTCGAACTCGCGAACGGAGGAGCTGCCGTGGAGATCACCGCCAAAGGGTGGGTAGCCAGGCTTGCATGGGGCGGCCAGGTCTGTTAATAATAGGGATAATGAATATGTAACAAGATCCCCATGCCCTCATGCACGTAAGATTCGGAGCAGTTCCCTTCCTTTCTGGGGATTTTGCAAGAAGCTGCTACAGTACAGATTGGGAAAAATGCATTGGAAGTCTATCAGTTCTTGTATTTCTGGCTTAAAGCAGTGGTCTCCGGCCCTTACTTGCTTATTTCCAGGGGATAGTTTCTCCCTCTTCCATCTGATGCAAGGCTTTTATGTCTCTGACTGAATACATTTTTTAAAATAAATTACTCAAGGTCGCAAACATACCTAATATTCCTTCCTCCTCATAACAACAACCCTGTGAGGTGGATTGGGCTGAGAAAGTGATTAGCCCAAAGTAGCCAGCCAGCCTTCATGCCTTAAGGTAGGACTAGAACTCATGGTCTCCCAGTTTCTAACCTGGCACCTTAACTGCTAGACCAAATGTTTTTTTTAACTATTTTAAATATTTTTTAAAAAATATTCATTTTCTTTTCATGCATTTCGGTCTTCTTAATATTTCTCATAACTTAGCAAAAACTTAGCAAAACAATTTGTTTTAGCATTCAAGGACTTTTGGATCTGGGTAGCCACTGTCTTTTCTGGATGAATCCACAGAAGGAGCTATTTGGTTATATGGCATCGTAAGCTATATGATCTTTCTCAGTGCTGATCCTTGGAGGATGTCCTTCTGAGCAGAAAGAAGCATGAATGGAATACATGAAATGTTCAGAGGGTGGCCCTAGTTCAGCATTTTAAATAAATCAAGAAGCAGTAAATGTGCTCAGGGCTGGGGCCCTGACTGTGTGAAGAATCCTATCTTCTGGCTGTGCTAGTGATTGCCAGTTGTGGTATTTTCCTCGGCTATTGTGTATTTTAAATTTGTGATTGGAATTGTTTTAATGTATTTTAAGACTGTTCATCACTCAGAGTCACTTGTTGAGATGGACAGCTATTGAAATGAAATAAATACCCAGATATGGAGAATTGTGAAGATATACATTCCATTGTAATAATTTTGAAATAAAACTAAAGCCTTGCTGCTTCTAGCTGAAGGGGAAGGAGATCGTTTAGGGAATGCACCTTTTTAAAAATCAACTTCTGTTTATTCTCCCTGCTGTTAAACTTTTGTTGTTGTTGTTGTTGTTGTTGTTTTCCAGTTTTATTTCCAAGTGTTCACTTAACTTCTGTTCTCTTCCCAGGGTCTTCTCGATGCTATAATGGCCAAGTTGATACAAGCACCCCCTAAGTTTCTGCCTCCCGAATGGCACATTGCTAACAAGGTCCAATACAGTAGTGCCGAGGCCCAGCGGTCTCGTTCGGAACGCTTGGTAGATGAGAGCCAGCGGTTGGTAGATGAAATTGAGAGAACCACTCAGAAGACTCAGAGTGATGTCAACAAGAGAATAGGTGATGGATGCTTTTAATGCATTTATATGGACGTATGTGTACATGAATCTGAAAGCAGGTGGCTGGGTTTGCATAAGATGCTTGAACCAAGTCAGTTAAAGATCTGTATTTGTATAACATGCAAAGCTTTGTTTTAAGTTTCATTATTGCCGTGTGTGTGTGTGTGTTGGTATCTTATGTGTAATTTGTTTGTGATTATAGTATACACAACCAGAAAATACAGGTAGTCTTCAATCTACTACAATATTTAGGACCAGAATTTCCAATTTGGTAAGAAAACTGTTAAATGAATTGTGCCCAATTTTATGATTTTTTTGTGCCACAGTGAATCACTGCAATTGTTAAGTGAATCATGTGATCATTAAGTGTCTATGATGGCCCCATTGAGTTTGCTTGTTGGAAGCCAGGTAGGAAGATTGCAGATGGCAATCACATGACCTTGGGATGCTGCAACCTTTGTAAATATATACCAGTTGCCAAGTGCCCACATTTTGATCACTTGTATGGGGATGCTGCTATAGCTGTAAGTGTGAGGACTGTTCATAAGTTCAATTCAAAGGGTAAGGAATTGCTGGCTGAGGAGTGCAGGAGATGGGGCAATGATATCTTCATGTACAGGAGTAGATGGACCAAAAAAGAACCCTATTTGAGAAGGATTGTGGGGCAAAACAGATATCTTAAGCATTAAAAAACAAAATGAGGAAATTGGCTTGATACTGGAAGTTTTCAAAGGGCATGGTAAATTACTGTAAGACAAGGTATCAGTTTTGCCCCTGAACCATTCAATCTCATCCCAAAATAGAAAGTCTGGAAGGAGAGTAATTGGAGCTTGCTATGCGACATCCTTAGGGGATGATTAAGCCGCAAAGTTCTTGTTTTAGTTTGATTGTTTTGTGTTTCTGTTTTAATGTTACTGGTTTTACTGTTGTGGGCTACCCAGAATTGTTTCAGATGGGTGGCCATAGAAATCTTTTAAAAACAAATCATTAAAAAGATCTGGCCTTGTCCACGCTAGAATGGCTGTGGGATCCAGGGACCCTCAAAGGGAGTCTCGGAGGCTGCATGCCAGCTGGGGTTGTCCACGCCTGTTGAAGGGACCTGATCTGTGGGGTGTGTCTGTCACATTAATGTATGTTTGTTTCTTCATCCTGTTTCCAACATTTAAGAGCCGCAGGAGGCATGGGTAGTTGTCCCATGACAATGATGTAAGGATGAATTTTTTTGTCCCTCGAAGGAAAGGGATTGGAGGTTGTTTAAACTGGAAAAACATGTGTTAACATGCTCATTTGACAATGTCCATTTTTAAAAAGACAACTTTATTATTCTGCTGGAGGGTGCCATTTAGTCAACACATTTTAGCAATACAATGTTGGGCTGCAAAAATGGGCTTGGGGAAAGTGCATGCATGACTCTGGTTGTCCATCACTCTTCTAAATCAACTTAAATATTGAGCTGTGAGATAAATGTGCAGTTATAGCAATTACCCCTTACAATGTATGGAGATTAATATGTCCACCCAAGATGCCTAAGCAGGTAAGGTAAAGATGTAACAGCTGCATTCATAAAATATACAGTTTACAGTTTTAGAGTTTTGTGTCTCATCATGCAATGCAAACCCAGACTTTTTGACTAGGTTATGGTTCAATATATTGCGCAACCCCCCAAAATGGGTTGATTCAATACTGTGTGAACTCAGCCCTTGAATTGATGGCATCATTCACTTGAGCTTCATCCACATTGTCTGTTATGGGTGGTCATCAAATTTTCCTTTTGGATGAAGCCCTGAGATCTAGCTGCTGTTGGACTTGGATGCTGCTTTCCTCTACCTTGGGGTGATTGAGTATTCTCACTTCTGCAGAACAGAGACTTGAGGAGATAAAATTCTGGAAGCAGCAGTTGGATGACAAGCTTGACCAGATTGTGAAGGAGACTGAAGTGCTTTTGTCATTCAAAACAAGGTTGGAAAAAGCTCTGGAGGGCTGCAAAGAACCACTTTTCACTGCTCAGGAGTGTCTCTTAAATCGGTGAGAGGATTATTTATTTTTGGACTTGAGAGGCTACTTCAGTTTCTGCTTGCTGGAGGCAGGTGGGATAAACTTGTGTGGATTAAGAAAAACTCTGTAATGTCATCATGACTGTTTAGCTGGGAGAAAAGATCTTGAGTCACTCATAGTAGCTGGCAGGAAAAAATGTTACGAGAAATAACTGGAGATGTGCAAATATTTAGTCTAGAAAAGAGAGTGGTGATCTTCAAGTTTCTGAAGGGCTGTCACATACAATAGCAATAGCAGACTTATATACCACTTCACAGTGCTTTACAGCCCTCTCTAAGGAAGAAGAAGGAGAAGGAGAAGGAGAAGACTTGTTGGCATTATTCCTTGTGACAGGACAAACAGTAGGTTTAAATTAACTTCCTGAACTCTAAATTATTAACCAGTGGACCTGGCTGCCATATGAAGTGGAGAGTTCTCTTTTACATCAGAGACTGCATGGTCATGTCAGAGATGCTCTAGTCTAGTAGATCCTGCAGTAGAGGTTAAATACAGTGACCTCTAAGGTCACTTCTTTTTATTGATAAATGACACAGGTAGTCCTTGACTTTCAATAATTCATTTAGCAACCGTTCAGAGTTAGAATGGCACTGAAAAAAGGTGACTTATGACCGTTTTTCAAACTCACGACCATTGCAGCATCCCTATGGTCATATGATCAAAATTTGGACACTTGACAACTGGCATGTATTTATGACCATTGCATTGTTCTGGTGTCATGTGATCAAATTTCGGGATGTGTTTGTTCTACAGCTAAGTCAGGGGTGTCAAGCTCAATTTCACTGAGGGCTGCATCAGCATTGCGGTTGTCCTTGGGGGGGCGGGTAGGTGTGGCCAGGGTAGGTGTGGCCTACTGGGTGGGCGTGGCTGGAGTGGGTGTGGCCTACTGGGTGGGCATGGCCAGCTCTACATCCTTCACGTCAAGGGGGCCTGCGGGGGCCTGGGCAGCAGTGGGACAGATCTGAGGGTCTCTGGCAGAAGGGAGTGGGACCAGGGCAAGCGCCAAGGCATGGTCCACTGGAAGAGCCTGCCAAAACCTCTCCCCCAGAGCCCATCAAGCCGGATATGTGAAGTAGGCGAGGGCCATTTGCTGGCCACTTCCAGGCGATGGTGCATTTCTTCATTCCTCACAAAGGGTGACACCTCCCCAGCACACGCCCAGGGGGTGGGGCCAATGCGGCAGGGGCTGGTCCCTTGCTGTTTCCAAACGACCTTGTGGAGCTAAGACTGAATGCGTTTCAGCATAGATGGCCACCACAAAATTGTACATTGGCTCCCAGGCGGCCGGGGCCAAGGCAGCGGGGGCCGTTCCCTCACTGTTTCCAGGATGGCTTCGCGGGCCACATGAAACCACGTCGCGGGCCGCATCCGGCCCCCGGGCCTTGTGTTTGACATGTCTGAGCTAAGTAGTGGAACATCTGCTTTGTATGTAGAAGATCTTGGCCTAACCTCTTCGTCTAGCTAGGTAGGACTGGGAAAGCCCTTTCTAAATATTACAGAACTGTTGTGACCAATACATAAGTATTAAGGGAGATGTTGGACTTCAATTAAGGTATATATATTATGTTTGCGCAACATAATAGGTTTGCACCATATATGAAATCCTAAGCTGGTCTGATAAGCTGGGTTCATATTACAGGCAGTCCTTGACTTATGCCCAACATTTCTTTTGCTAAGCAAGACAGATATTAAGTGAGTTGTGCCCCATTTTAGGGCCTTTATTGCCGCAGTTGTTAAGTGAATCACTGCAGTTATTCAGTGTGCTCTACTTTACGAGTCCATACTAATGAAAAAGTCTAAGCCTAAAGAAGGCTTAGGTGACATTTTGTGCGGAATTATGGATGCTGCAAATGAAAAGGCGTAGGAGTTTGCAGGATATTGAATTTTGCAGAAAGAGTAGCTGACTCTATTTTAGGGATTCTGGGGCTGAAGATCATTCTCAAAAGAGTCCCAGTCTCTACCTTGAAAAGAAATGGGTGAAGAACTGACTGCCTGTAATTACACTGATATTTATTAATTAAGATTCAGTTATTTATTATATTTTATTATCCTATCCTCTTCAAGTTTCTTCTCTGCTTCTTAGGGGATGCACCTGCATTAGGCCTTTTCTCAAAAATGGATATCTTTTGTCTATATATGCATTTTTAACTAGAAATACTCTCCATCCAGCACCCATTTTACTATTTCATGTTTAGCACACTTAAGGAATTACTTCTGAATTGTCTCTTGATCAACTTCTTCATGGGGGTGGGATAAAAAGCTAATTAAGAGTTCCTCTGTGACAGTAAGAAAAGTATAAAAGTTTTATTTGAGTAACAATCTACCTTGAAGGGAACAGAGTCACGTCAATCTGTGAGGTAGGTGGCAAATAAATTTAACAACAACAACAACAATAATAATAATAGTTATAAAGGACATTGTAACATTTTACATTTTGGGAGGATTTTGACATTGGAAAATCTTGCAGAAGAATATAGGATTGTTTTTTTCACCTAGGCACCCTCCAGATATATGAATTCCTAGAATTTCCCAGCCTTCTTAGCTACTGCTGAGAATTCTCCAGATTAAAGTCCACATATTGAAGGAACATCAAAGTTGAGAACCACCTGTATAAGTCTTCCTCCAGTTGTGTTCAGCTCCTAATAGCAAGATTAACACAATTATGTTATTTTCCATGTCTGCCATTGTTTCCCTCTGGGATTATTTAAACTTTATAGTTTAACCTATTGTTTTAAGATTTTTTGCTAGTCTCCATTGTAAGTACTAACCAGATCCGACCTACAGTATTTAGGCTAAAATTAAGTATGTGGGTTTTTTTCCAAGATCAGCTAGAATGGCCTCTGAAGACTCTTCAGAAAACATAATTGGTGCAAAGAATCAGTTCAGTATAATGGTGAAGGTGCTGGACTAGAAACTGAGAGGCTGTAAGTTCTAGTCTTCCCTTAGGTATAATAATAATAATAAAGTTGGAAGGGACCTTGGAGGTCATCTACCCAATTGGGTGACTTTGGGTCAGTCACTTGCTCTCAGCTCAACTCATTTCCCATGGCTGTTGTTTCGGGAAAAATAAGAGGCCAGAGCATTATGTACACTTCCTTGAGTGATACAAAACTAGTAGTTTACATATAAGCAGGTGACGACTGTTGCAGCATCCTCATAGTCACATGATCAAAACTGAGATGCTTGGCAACTGTCTCATATTTGTGACGGTTGCAGTGTCTTGGGGTTGTGTGAACATCTTTTGCAACCTTCTGAGAAGCAAAGTCAATGGGGGAGCCAGAGTCACTTAACAACCATGTTACTAATTTAACAACTGCAGTGATTCGCTTAACAACTAATGGCAAGAAAGTTTGTAAAATGGAACAAAACTCACTTAACAACTGGCTCACTTAGCAAGAGAAATTTTGGGTTCAATTGTGGTTGTAAGTTGAGGATTACCTGTATTATACCTGTGATGTGGGCTTTGCATTAGTTTCCCAGTAGGCTTTTGGATACAATTCAAAATGTTGATACTGACCTAAAATGCTGTCTATCTTCTGGTGGGGTATGATGTAGGTTCTTCCGCCAAAAGTAATTTGGGGAAAAATGACAAATTAGTGTCTTTTGGTTCTTCTTTTGAAACAGCCTCCCATCAGAGATCCAGCAAGTGCATTTACTCTTACAGGAAAGTTCTGAAAACAGCTGTTCAGCAGAGCATTGACTGACATCCATTCATGCCTATTTATATTAGTTTTAGTTCTGTTGTCACTACTTTATATGATTCTATTGGTTTTGAATTATATTGACCTTTGTGTTATGGTAACGTGCTTAGATTTTGGTTGTGCATAGCTGTGAATCCTTGGAAAGTATAGTGATATAAAAATATAATAAATACACAAATTCCTGCCCAAATTCCTGTTGTTCGGGTATGGTAAGAGGTAGGCTCTAGTGGTTGAGATTTTTTAAATTAATTTTCTGTGTATGGGCCTTTATTTATTATTATATTTTTTTTAATTTGTGAAATTTATTTGCCACCTGTTTCACCATGCAGCTGACAATAAAATGGAGAAAAAAATCAGACATGCTTGATTATTTGGCAAACAATATATCCCCAGAGTCAGGATTTCCTGTTGTGCCAAAAAACAAACAAACCCCAAAAAGAATTTTTGTTTTTGTTTCAGGGAAAGGCGGGTTGGTATTGACTTGGTCCATGATGAAGTGGAACGGGAGCTGATCAAGGAAGTTGAGGTCTTCCAGGGAGTTGTCGCTTTGCTTGAACGTACACTGGAGCAAACCGATGAGCAACTCAGGTATAGAAAAAGGAAAAGGCTGAAAAGAAAAGAAAAACAGAAAGCTGTGGAAATTCTGGAGATGATATGGGCAATAGAGAAGAACCTAAAGTGTGATGCAGTATGAACTAAAGCTGTTAATTCCACAGGGTATAGCGGAATAGGTATGTAGTCTTGGGTGTTAAGACTATAACTCAATGGAACAGCAACTATTCTGCATGTAAAACTTCTCAGGTACAATTGAACAAAGTCTTCACTAATTTCCAGACAATGACATTGGGTGGATTGTGCATTTGACAATGTCAGATGCAAAGAATCAGTACGATTCATAAGGTTGCAGCATAAACAATTCATTGAAGCCTATACACAAGAATCTGGTCAACTAACCACCAGCATTAAATTGGTGCTAGATAAGGTCCAATGGAATTCAAGGGAGGACTGGACTTGGGTGTCTTGTGGCAATGCAAGGACTCTAAACTGATGATGCATTTAACTCTGCCCTCCAACTCTGCCTGCCCTTCTCTTACAGGCACATGCAGGAGAAATATGAGCTGGTCTCTTCATTCTACAGCAAAAATCATGAAGGAATAAGAAGGCTTCTTTGTAAATCTGATGTTCTGTTCCATGGAGTTTGTAGCATGCACAATACTGCTCTAATATATCAACTGTGCTATGCTGAGTCCTTTGATACACGTGTAATCTGCATTTTAGAACTGTATGGCTAGACAGCTTTTTATTTATTCTCTTCCCAAAGGCTTTTTCCTCTTTCAGGCTTAATCGCACGGCCAAATACAATCTTGAACAGGATCTGAAGGATAAATTCACAGCCTTCACAATTGACAACTATTGCTCCAATCTCACCAACAACTCCACTGATATTGGCTATGCCCAAAATGTTGTGAAGGTTGAGGAGAAGTAAGTGTCATATGGGGAACTGAGTGGGAGGACCAGGAAAACCTGTCATTGGGACACAGGGGCTCTTCTGTAACCATGATTCATTTCAACAAAGGCCAAACTTGGAAAGGACCTGGGCAGTTGATGGTGCCACAGATGAGAATAGCATGAGGGAAGCTCATTTGGGTTCATGCTCCACCAATGTCAATGTCTATGGAGATTCTCAGTCATCCAAGTCATGATTGTCCCAAAGATGCTTTTTCAAAAGGCAACTGGACTTTCTTTGTTTTTCCTTAAAGATGTTTCACTTTTCATCCAAGAAGCTTCTTCAGAAATGTTCCACCAATCTATTTTTTTTCACTTATTGCCTCATAGAGCCATAACTAACACCCAGAATACTTGGTATTGTATTATTTTCTTCGTATTTGATGACAGGACTTTGATTGCATGGTCGTGACCTCCATCTTGTGATTGTAACACACCCACCCTATGGACATTGTTGATTGTGATTCTTCCCTCCAAGATTTGAACATTTCACAATGATTCCCAACCTTTCTCCCGACACTGAATACGTAGGGTTGCATGTGGGAGTCAATTTTTTCCCCTCTTGTTTTTTGGACAGCTCAGTGAGCCCTGAACAATGGATGGATTTCTCCAACACAAATGTTGAAAAAGCCGACAAACAGCGAAACAATTCTCTGGCCCTCAGAGCCTTGATTGACAGCATTTTGTCCCAGACTGCAAGTGACATGCGCAAGCAAAACAGGACAGTAAACATTGCATTCCAGAATAGGGTGAAGGAAACCAAGGATGCCAAGAACAAATTAGAAATTCACTTGGCAAAGGTAAATATTGGAGGGGTACCCAACTTTGGGATGGGAAATAAAAAGAGAGGGAAGAACACACCTCCATCCTAGTTGTAAGGTTGGCATCTACCCTCCATGCATTGAATGAATTGTAACTTTTATAACATAGGGCCAGGTCTGCTAAAATCTGGAGCATTGCTCATATGTGATATCATTTACACATGACCACAAAAGGAAGCAGCTACAGCTGTTTTCTGCCATTTTAAAAATTACCGTACTTTTTTAAAAAAATATGTTTTATTAATTTTTAACATAATCACCATAATATTTGGTAGACAGTGCATTGTCTGGGTTTACATTTAGCAAATATTCACTAACAATTAAATTCTATAATGTAAAATCCACATGATAATTTTACATGATTTCCTCTTTTCCCCATAGTGTTCTCTTTTACCAACCTTAAGTTAATATAATTCTTATTGTTTTAATAAATGGTAATTAAGTATAAAAGTTTTCTAATATTTCTACAAATAGTAATCACAACAATATAGTATTCCTTTTCTATCTAGTCATTCTGGTTGTCTCATCATATATCCTGTTTACAGTTCTTGTTTACATTTATTTTTCCCACAGTGTTCTAAACATTTTTACTAGTTACGATTTTCTCAGAGTTAATTACATTTAAATATTTAAATCTCTCTGAGGTCCTCGGGACTTCCTTCCTTCATTGCCACCTCTCTGGGGTGGCTTCTGGCCCATTTAGGGTCCCCTAACAGGAAGAAACTCAGCTAGAGGGCACGGAGTCCCGAACCCCTCAACTGCTGCGCGGCGCGCAGGACCGGAAAAATTACTATAATCCTTTAAAATTATCACAGGTGTAAAATTTGATAGCCTTCTGATACAGGTAGTCCTTGATTTACTTGGGACTTACAATTGGGATCAGATTTTCTAATCAGTGTGTTTATTAAATGAGTCATCACATGACCATGACCAATTTTACAACCTTTTTTGTTGTGGTCATTAAATGAATTGTCTGGTTGTTAAATGAATCCAGCTTTGCCTCATTGACTGTTTGTTGAAAGCTGGCCGGGAAGGTCACAAGTGGTGATCGTGTGACCATGGGATGCTGCAACCACCATAAATATATGACAGTTGCCAAGTGCCCAGATTAGGTCACATGAGTGTAGCGATGCTGCAGCAGTCATAAGTGTAAGAACTTATTTTTTATTTATTTTATTTATTTGTTTGGATTTTTATCCCGCCCTTCTCCTTACGGACTCAGGGCGGCTGACAGCCTGGTAAAACAGATACAAAATGCTCCCCAGAAAACCTAAAAAGGATGGATAATTAACTCTGGAAAATTGCGTCTGTCATTCTCCCCCACCTTCACAGTATTATTTATTTACTTACAGCTAATGAAAAGGTGCCAGTCTTTGGTGGATAATTTTCTTATTTTAATCTTTGGCACTTCCAGAAGACTTGAGAAAAACCCTCATAGGAACATTCAAGCAATATTCACTTGTGGATTAGGGAATTGCCTTGTAGTTGTGGTCCTATGTTATGTCCAATTCTGAGCTTTCAAAGGAAAGAAGACAGTTCCATAGTTGCCAAGCACCAAGCTTTGGTTTCAACATTGTTCTGAACCACTGAAACAGCTGTTCAGAATGTTGGGCAGAAAACCTGTTTCCCAGCTGAGCTGCAGCACTCCTGGTTTCCTACATGCAGAGAAACTGCTTGCAGTTGAATGAAAGTTGTTCTTTCTATCTGGCTGACTACAGGAGAGGCTTCCTCAGCAGAAGCCCAGTTCATCAGCCCAGCAAGTAGTTGCAAATATTCCTCCTCTGAACAAGCTTTAAAGAATTGTGGAAAAAATGGTGAGGACAGGGGAGGGGGGAGTCCGAGAGTCTCTGCAGGCATTTCCTGCTCAATAACCCCTCCTTGACTCGTCTCCCTTAAGCCTTTAAGAATCCTAACTGAGTCTGCATAATATGTTCAACTTGCTTACTGAATTAAGGTGATTCTCCAGGTTTGCAGTTTATTAAATCAAGCTAACCAAGCAGGCTGTACTCACACAGAATGAAAAGCTAAAAAACTAACTAACCCCAGCTAGTTAACGAACTACCCCCCGAGATCCGGACTATCCCGGATCTCCTAACCTTCCGCCGCGCCCTCAAGACATGGCTTTTTCAGCAAGCGGGACTGACCTAGGGTGAATTTTAAACAGGGAAATTTTTTAAAGATTTTAATGATGACACAGCTATATATATCTGGGTTTTTAATTGGCTTTTATAGGGGAAATGTTTTTTGTGTTGTTTTTTAACATGCTGTGAGCCGCCCTGAGTCCCGTGGGGAGAAGGGCGGCATATAAGTTAGTGCAAATAAATAAATAAATAAAAATAAAAAAAGCCAAGACTTAAAATGAACTAGGCTTGTTATTCTTATATAGACAGCCATTAGACTTTCAAGGGATCTAATTGTGTGCTGTGAACACAGCTGAAATGTGTTCCTCTCTTTGTTCTGTCTGTATTTGAAGGTGATGGAGGAGATCAATTCTCAGACAAAAAATATTGATGCTCTGAGGAAAGCCATCCTGGATAAGGAGGGGCCAGCCAAGGTGGCCCAAACTCGCCTGGATACTCGGACTCACCGTCCAAATGTAGAGCTTTGCCGAGACGTGGTGCAGTATCGACTCATGAGTGAAGTGCAGGAAATCTGCCATAATATCCAGAGGCAAGTACAACACAGAGGCCACAGAGCCTTAGTCAAATCTGGGGTTGTCCCAGGAAGTTAGTAACTTTCTGGGGTGAGGGAGGAGCAGGAAAAAGTGTGAGATCCCTGTTCTGCAAAACCTGTACGTGCGATGGATGTGTTTAACTTCATTTTGTGATCGATCCTTTGGTTGGTCCATCATTTGTCTTAATCGTAGACCTAATTCTCCCCCTTTTGGTCAAAGATTTCAATGGATTTGTGGACTAACTTCTCTCTAGTAGAAGTGAAGGTGGGGCTGCTTCATGGGGGAGATCAGAGCAGTTGGTGGCTCTTCTACGGACAAAGAATTTAAACGGAGGGAGTCTTGATTTCCCAGAATTAAACTCTGGGAAAGTGCATAGCATTCTAAGTCCTAGAGGGAATGATTTTTCTCCTTAGGCTTCTAATTCTGGCTCTAAATGGAAACTTAAGATACCCAAGCAATGCTAATAGGAATCTCAGCAATCCAAATGAGACCAATTGAGACTGAGCAGGTGCTTCTAGCAGCTGAGTTGGGAGGCATTTATTTGCCTGCCATTCTGGCAAGCAGGAATACATGATATACACGAGCAGACTGATTACCATAAAGCCGTGTTCATATTACAAGCTTAGTAATGTTGGGTAAAGGTTTCGCAGGTGCATTTGTACAATAGGCCAAGCTTGGGTAATGTTAAAGTAGATATTTGTGGCTTAGCCTGTTGTGCAAACCTAGCCTATGGATTGGTTTATCATTCAGTGTATTGATGGGATCCATTTGGTGGCTAGATTTAAGCTTGCTGTGTAAATACAACCATTTCTTGGTTTCACAGTGCTAGATTAAAATGTGGTTGGCTAGTTTGTAGCTTGTGACTACATTCATGGAATATGCTTAATTTGGTTATTCAATTAACCATTTTCTGGGCTTGCACATATTTCGAACATTAAGTAAGCTGGATATGCAAACCCCATTAAATAACAAATTAACTAGGGCTTGTACATACATTTGCAACTGCTAGGTATCTAACCTCACTAAACACAGCAACTAAGACACTTGGTTTAGTTCTGTAAACAATGTTCAGGTAAACCATACATTAATGTATTAATAGTGTTTGCAGTAAAAAACAGTGCCACCATGCCTGCAAACCTCTCAAAAGTGAGGGATTTGCAATAGTTTCTTCCTGATAGAGTGAATTGGTTAGGCCGATAATGGGAGTAGCTGGTCCAAAAGGTGCCTGGGCATCAAGACGTAAAAGATGCAGGCTGCTGTAGTATCTGAATATTCTCTATGGGCAGCCCTCAGCAGAGTGCATTACAGTAATCCAAATGGGTGGTGATAGGGTTATGATTTATTGTAGCCAGGTTTCCCTGTCCATGATTTCTAGTTGCGGAGTAGAAAGCCAAGTCTAGAAACACCCCTAAGTTGTGAACTTGACTGTCTATCAGAGGAATTTGATGGCAACAGGGCACCTCATGTATTGACAACAAATTGCCAGGATTCAACTTCAGGCTGTTCTTTCCCATTCAGATCTAGATAGCTTCCAAACAGCAGGAAAGAATATTTCTCTCCCTCCCACTCCCCAGCTCAGAGTGGCAATGTACAACTGAGTACCCCAAATCTTTGAGTGACATGTCCCGGTAGCTTCATAAAGTTGTTAAAAAGCAGGGTGGATAGGATGAACTCCAGCATCTCATAAATCATAGGCTACTAGGCCAACCTCTCTTCCCTCTCAACATAGAGACTACCCACTAAGGAAGGAGTGGAACCATTATGAAATAACACTTCCAATGCCCTACTCTTGCAGTTGGTCCCAAAAAGCGTACCATGGTTGATAGTATCAAAAGCCATCACAAAGTCTATTAAAATCAGGAGGGGTACATTTATCCGAGGTACAACGCAGATCATTTAAGATTGTGACCAGTGTCATCTCTTGGCCTGAATCCTGATAATCTGATTCCTCTAGGTCAGGGGTAGGCAACCTTGGCTCTTTTATGACTCGTGGACTTCAACTCCCAGAATTCCTGAGCTGGCTCAGGAATTCTGGGAGTTGAAGTCCACGAGTCATAAAAGAGCCAAGGTTGCCTACCCCTGCTCTAGGTGCTGTGAAGTTGGTCCATCACCAGTTCTTTTTTTAGGGAAGGTCGTTGACTGGTTGGTTGTTCTCTAATACTACTGGTTCCACAAATTCCCTCTACGGGGGGGGGGGACATACTACAACTTCTTTCAAGGTTGCTAAAAGCTCCCCCTTCTGCAATAAGGCATTAACAATTGTTCATATCCACATGGCCACCTCCTGCCTGCTTTCCCTACAAGTTGGGAGGGCAGGGATCCAACCAACAGATAGCAAAAGACAACTGAGACAGCAGCTATCTACTTCCTTGGAGGCTGCAGATCAAAAGAATCCCCGATAACCGAGCAAGGCAAATACCAAAGACTCTGTGCCTGCAGAGTCAAGGTTACAGGAAATCCAAGGAGTTACTTCCCTGCAGGAGATAATTTAGTGCCAACCAGAATCTCTTCGGAACTAAACCTACTTTCTTTGGACACCCACCTTTTATGACATACTAATGTGGAAGCAGGGCCAGACCAGAGCATACAATCAGAAGATTGTCGTGATTTGTTTGACTGAAAGCCCTGGAGAGGCTTGCCAAACTCTAGAACAAGGGTGTCAAACTCAATTTCACTGCGGGCCGCATCAGCATTGCGGTTGCCCTTGGGGGGCCAGGTGGGTGTGGCCAGAGTGGGTGCAGCCTACTGGGTGGACGTGGATGGAGTGGGTGTGGCCTACTGGGTGGGCGTGGCCAGTTCTACATCATTCGCGTCAAGGGTGCCTGTAGGGCCTGGGCAGGAGTGGGACAGATCTGAGGGTCTCTGGCAGAAGGGGGTGGGACCGGGGCAAGTGCCAAGGCATGGTCCACCGGGGCAAGTGCCAAGATGGCCACCACAAAATTGTACATTGGCTCCTGGCCGGCCTGGGCCAGGGCCAAGGCAGCAGGGGCCGTTCCCTCACTGTTTCTAGGATGGCTTCGCGGGCCACATGAAACCACTTCGTGGGCCACATCCGTCCCCCGGGCCTTGTGTTTGACATGTCTGCTCTAGAAAGTAGTAGCCTTCACCTTTTTTTTTTTTCTGTTTCTCCCTTAGGCTGAAGGACACACTGGCTCAGGCTGAAATAGAACTGAAAGGCCTACACCGCCGGCAGCTTTCTCTGGAGGAAGAGATTGAAGTCAAAGCAAATACACTTTACATTGATGAAGTGCTCTGCATGCAGATGAGAGAATCCATTTCCATCAATAAGTTCTGATCCATGACGCTGGCAGAATCCCTGCTGGCTGGACCCTACGAATAGATCTTGAACCATTGGCTTAAACTTTCAAAAATCTTTTATAGAAGCCAAACATCTGCCCTGAACTTTCTACCAGATAATAAATTAGTGAAACCTCAGAGCCCAACTTCATCAGAAGCTCTTGGGGGGTGGGTGGGGGGGTGGGGGAATCCCTGTGACAGAGGACTAGGGTGCAAGTGATGGCTGGAAAGAAAACAAGTAGGATTTGAACTAGTATCTTTAGTGCAGAAATAGTTTAAAAACTTAAGGGGAGTGCTGATTCAACACATGGCTTTCATAGGATTTGTAAATGTTCTGTCCTCTTCAGGCAGAAAACAGATTTTAAAAAAATAACCTTTAGAATAGGCTAAAATGGGGGATAAAGTGGAGGCTAGAGTCACCCACCCTAAGATTCTGACCCTGATTACTAATTGACAGCCCAATCCAGGTCACATGATCATTCATCCAATGAGACACAAGATCAAAAAGGATACCAGGGATATTCACAGGAGATGAGAGTGATCATAAAAGTTGGTGGCTTCAATCCAATGATCCTAGATGCCATCTTGACTTTTTTTTTCTCCCTCCTTTCCCTCAAAGACCCCTGCATAATTCTGTGCAATGTTAAGCGACTCCTACAGGTAACACTTGGGCTAATTTTTAAAATGTGGATATTCTTTAGGCAATGACTCCCATAGCTTATACAGATTATTCTGTAACCTGAACTAAGATGCCTTGTAGTTCTGGTCCAGACAGCATAAACTCAACGAAAATGGTTTTACACAAATATTTATTGTCCAGGAATTCTAAGCAGAACCTTACTATGCTGTAGATGCGTCCGGTCTTTGCATATCTGTCCATTTTGCGTAGGTAGAAAAGTGGTAATTCTCCATATCAGCTGAGTGTGGTTACAGATGCCATCCATGCATGCACGCACATGCTTGGTTACACAAAGGGATTTTACAACCCTGACACGTAACAGGATGTCCTGCAATAACTTTTTAACTCCTCCCACTGTCTAGATAAGCTATAGGATTAACTAACACTGAACTACATTACCCAGAAGCCATCTCTTAAGGAAACAGCATTTAACCTTTTAAATGCTACATGTTCTTACATACAGTTCTCTCAATGATACAACATTAACCCTGTAAATGCTAAATACTCTAACACAGTTCTTAAGCTAACTGGTCCAGCACACAGATAGTTCTCGACTTATGACACAATTGGGACTAGAATTTTTGTTGCAAGGCAGTTAAGTGAGTCACACCTGATTTTGTGACCTTTCCCCCCCCCACGGTTATTAAGTGAATCACTGCAGTTGTTAAGTGAATCATGCAGTGGTTAAGCAAATTCAGCTTGCCCAATTAAGTTTGTGGGAAGCTGGCTGGGGAAAGTCGCCCATGGAGACTACATGACCCTGGGATGCTGCCACTGTTGTAAATACAGGCTAGTTGCCAAGTGCCCGAATTTTGATCACGTGACTGTCGGGATGCTGGGACAGTAGTAAATGTGAGGACTGGTGGTAAGTCACTTTTTTCAGTCCTGTTGTAACTTTGAATGTTAAAAAATGGTTGTAAGTTGAGGACTACCTGTATATACTTTTTAAGTTCTGGATTCCAGCAAACCCACATTTTCTTCCCAGGATAACCAAGTTTCTCCTCAAAGACCAACAGGCTCTTCCCCGAGAAAAGAAATGCAGGAATCCTTGCGCTGCTTCTGGTCCAGCTTCTTTTGTAGGCGCCATTCAGCTGCCCCAAATCTCACTGGCCCTTTTGCATTCCAAAGACTCTTTGTTGTAAACTCGCAAATGATGCTTATGCTCAGTCTGGGTTGTCAAATGTGTAGCTCTTTTATTCTTAAAAAGCGCAGATCAGGGTGTTGCAAGGCACTTTCCTGGACCCGATCCTGCTGGAATGAAAAGGGCCAGTTCAGCCGCTGAGACATGTCATTGCCAGCTACTTCCTTCTGGTGAGTTTTGCATGGATTCTCCTGCAACACAAAACAGGGAAAGAGAATATACTTTAGAACATGGCAGAGGGCAGCAGGGAACAATCGCTTTGGGGTGAGGTGGGGGAAATCTCAGGGGAAGGGAATCCTCTCCTCCTTGGTTCTTAGGACAACCCCTCCACCCCCAGTGCACAAATTCATATTTTACATGCATGCAGATTAAAGGTCTTAAACTCTGTGCTTTATATGTTTATTTAGGACCAGTGCTTGGGGGTTGGTGGTACTATTGCAGCTTGCCCCATTTGTCCGCTTAAGACACAGGTCAGCAACCTGCGGCTCTGGAGCCGCATGCAGCTCTTTGAGCCTTCCCCTGCGGCTCCCAGCCTCTTCTGCCATTTCCAGAGAGACAGAGAGAGGCACTTGCACTCCCCCCCTCTCTGTGTGTGTGTATGTATGTGTGTAAAAAAGAGAGTAGCCTCACACTGTTCCGACGAGCTAACAAGCTTATTGGGCGGGGCTCCTCCCTTTGCTGCGTCTCTGCAGGATGCAGGAAGGGCAGGAGAGAGCTAGCTAGCTCAGCTATGCTGACTCAGGAATTCTGGGAGTTGAAGTCCATGCGTCATAAAAGAGCCGAGGTTGCCTACCCCTGAGCTAGCCCAATAAGAATGTGTGTCAGCTTGTTGGAGAACAGCTTGAAGCCAGCTTGCCAGGTGAGCAGAAGATCAGAGAGAGGGAGAGATGGGGGGAGAGAGAAAGAGGAGAGAGAGAGAGAGAGAGGGAGAGACGGAGGGAGGGAGAGAGAGAGAGGAAAGGAGAGAGAGACAGAGAGACCCTTTTGACATATAAAATGAAGATAACACTGCATCCTTTTTTACCTTTATGATATAAAATAAAGGTAAAAAAGGATATATGCAGTGTTCATTTTAGATATCAAAAGGGTTTTGTGGCTCCCAGTGTTTTGTTTTCGGTGGGAAATGGGTCCAAGTGGCTTTTTCAGTGTTTTGGGTTGCCTACCCCTGGCTTAAGAGAATAACAAAGTTGGAAGGGACTTAGAGGTCTTCTAGTCCAGTGATGGTGAACCTTTTAGAGACCGAGTGCCCAAACTGCAACCCAAAATCCACTTATGCAGTCGGGTGACGGGTGGGTGTGGCCCATTGTGTGGGCGTGGCTGCGGTGGTAACAACAGACTGGGTGGGACTAAAAAGTTCAATCAATCAATTCCAACTTTGCAAGATCTTTTTTCCCGCGAGAAGTTGAAATTGACTGATTGAACCCTTTTTTTTTGTACACAGCGGTGGAGGCCTAAAGCGAAAAGGTTTTATAAAAACCAGCTGAAGGCCTAGGACTGGGCCGACGGCGCGTGTGCCCACAGAGAGGGCTCTGAGTGCCGCCTCTGGCACCCGTGCCATAGGTTCGCCACCAATGTATCTAGTCCAACCCCCTGTTCAAGCAGGAAACCCTATACCATTCCAGACAAGTGGCTGTCTAGACCCTTCTTAAAACCCTCCACTGATGGAGCACCCATAATTTCTGAAGGCAAGTTGTTCTGCTGGTTCAGGGGGTCTGCGACCTTGACAACTTTAAGACTTGTGGACTTCAGCTCCCAGAATTCTTCAGCCAGCTATGCTGGCTGAGGAATTCTGGGAGCTGAAGTCCACAAGTCTTAAAGTTGTCAAGGTTGCAGACCCCTGTAGCTGGTTAATTGTTCTCACTGTTGGGAAATTTCTCCTTAATTCTAGATTGCTTCTCTCCTTGATTAGTTTTATTAGCTCAAGCTACCCTCCTGTCATCCGATACAATAGTGGAAGTATTTTGTATGAGGAATTTAGTTAAGTATAAATTCCATCCGGTCACCACCACAGGGCATTTTCAAACAGAGGGTGACCCTAGGTGGCCCCTATGCCTCCAAAAACTGCTGAATAAAACAGATGCTCCACTCCTCGGCCTTCAAGCGGCTGCTGTATTTGGAAGGAGACAAAGCTGGCTCCATAGGAGAACATGGAGGCCTGGAGAGGCACGGAAAGAAGGCACCTGTTGAGAGCTTGGGGACAGAAGACAATACGGCAACTCCCGCTTTTTGAATTCCTAGTTCCTAGAGAAACAAAGGAGTTGCTTGCTTGGTTTTTCCCGAGTGGTACCAGAATTGTTTTTTTAAACTTTGGTTTGAGTTTGTTTAAAAAAAAAAAAAAAACCTAGGCAGCCCCTAAAACCTCGCTTGCTATGACTTTTCTTGGCTTAAAGGCTGTAATAAAGGTTTTGATTAGGATTGGACTGAACAGGGCCAAACTGGATTAGTTCTTAGATGGGAAACCCGCCAAGAAATACTAGTATTGTACAGATAGTACTCGACTTACGACCGTAATTGAGCCTGCCAATTATCATCATAAGTCATGCCAGTCATAACTCGGGTCATAATTGTGAGCGACATAATTTTACTACTTTTCTCGCAGTGCTTATTAAGCAAATGGGGCAATTGTTAAGCAAACGCGGTGGTCATTAAGCAAAGCCATTGTTCACAATGGCACATTTTTACTGGAAACTGGAAGAAAATCCATACATGTTGTAAATTGCGGTCTGCAAATAGCCATATATGTGGGCTGGTTGCCGAGCACCCGAAATATGGTCATATGATCATGGGGGGGATGGCCATTGGAATTTCGTAACTAGGTTCTAATTATCTTTTGGGGGTTCCTCAAAACTTTGAATGGTCGCTAAGCAACAGGTTGTAAGTCAAGGACTGCTTGTATGCTGGAATGTGAAATGTCCCCCCCCCCCCCAAAAAAAAAAATTCTGGGAACCACTTGTGTGTTGCTGTAAGGAAAGCAACTCTATGGACCTATTCATGAATAGCAATAGCACTTAAATTTATATACTGCTCCATAGTGCTTTCAGCACTCTCTTGAGCGGTTTACAAATATCACCATATTGCCCCCAACAATCTGTCCTTGTTTTTATCAATCTTGGAAGGATGGAAGGTTGAGTCGACCTTGAGCCAGTCAGGGTCGAACTCCTGGCAGTGAGCAGAGTTATCCTGCAATACTGCATTCTAACCACTCTGCCACCATGGAAGTTACCAAGAATCTCTCCTTAGAATTGTTAACTAGAAGCTGCTTTGTGAACTTTGGGAAGTGGAAGTAAAAAGGGAAACCACTCCTTACAATGACTCCATTTAACCCCAGTGGTAGTTCCAGTGGTGGCAGGGCAGAGAAGCAGATGCTGTTTTCTCATTCTGAATGTCTAGCAGTGCAGAAATATGGCGAGTACTTGAGTGAAACTGTGCAGCCTTTTTGAACAGGTGGAGATATTTTCAACATTTGTATGATGTTCCCCATTTATTTTTTTTTTAAAAAAGCATGAAGTGGTTTAAATAATTACTAGGGAGGGAAAGAGCAAACCCGAAGTTATAATAGTACCTTCTTTTTCCAAAAACCGTGAGCTCTGTCGAATTGCTTTTAGGGCAGCTGCCCTTTGGCACTTTTTCTGAAATAGGAATGAAATTGGAATTTTATGCGTGATCTGAGGACAGTTTTGCCATTGCAGCCTCTCTCTCTTTTTTTAAGTGTCCTTTTTAAAGGCAATGTAGAGAAATTCAATTTCGAAAGGCCACTAAACTTGAATAATCTTTTTTTTTATTATTAACATTTCCCTTCTCCCACCATTTTCTAAATACCGGGACTACTAGCCTGCTGTGGCTAGGATTTCAGCTATTTAGCAGCAGTGCCAGGGAGGTCCACATAGCTTCCCCAAGAGAAGGAGGCCCCACTGTGAATTCTCCCCTGCAGCAGCTTCAAATCAGTGCTTTTTTTTTGTCATAGAACTCACTGGAACGGAGGCACCTTTTTTTGATGGATTTTCTAAGTTTTAAAAGTAACTTTTGAAAACTTGATGCTTGGTCCACGTGGACTTGAATCGCCCTGTCGAGCGTAGCAGGTCGGCGGCAAAATCATTAAAAAAAGTGCATGCGGGCTGCTTGTGCGTGAGTCCAATGCATGCGTACTTTGTCCGGCTGCTCGGCTTGTGGCACTGCTCGGCTTGTGATTTGTTGTGTGGTCGTGCGCTGAGTGCTTACTGCGGGCGGCGACCGTTATGTTTCGTTACATAACTGATGTGTATGGGTGTGTGTACAGTGATTGACTACATGCGAAAGGTAAATAAAAGATTAACAAGAAGTGAGTTCCGGCACCTTTTTTCTTACAAAAAAAGCACTGCTTCAGATAATACCCCGTCCTCCAAATGGCTCCCTTATTGCCACATTCCCAGAGGGTTCATCTTCCTCACCTCATGCTTCTGTAGGACTGGGCTCGGAAGGAAGATGTTGCACTGGGAACATGTCGCCAGCTGGTCATACGCATCATTGAGGGCCTGTGGCCCAGTGGAGGTCAGGATGGAGGCAAAGTCCTGGCAGCTAGATGCCTTTTTGCTTCTTGGAGACTTTAGAGATGCTTTCTGGAGAGAAGGCAGTTCTCTGTCCCTCCTCTTGGGGCGCACATCCTTCTCAGCCTTCATTTTCCAAGTAGGGGAAGAAGGAGCTGGAGGTGGAGGGCTCCATGGAGATGGAGGAGACCTTGATCTTGCGGCAGAATGGGTGGCGAGAGCCCCCAGGAGCTGAGGAGGTGAACTGCATTCGTTCTGTGGGTGGAATTAAAGAGAGGTTCCAAAGAAGACTTGGTTAATGTGGTGTCATGTGTCTGATTAACGAAACACTTCAAAGAACTTTCAGGCATTTTTTTTAACCTAAAAAGCTTTTATTAGTATTACAGATTGTCAGCACAGCATGGTGGATGCTAAGATCTGAATTACCCTTCCTTTGCACATAACATTCCAGGCATTTCCCCTCCCCTATTTTGGGGTCATGATTCACATCTTCCAGTTAACTTGGAGGGCAAAGATTCACTCCCTTTTCTTTTTCCTGGGCTTTCCTTATTTTCTCCTCCCCTTTCCCTGTCACCTGATTTAACTGTAAAAATACCAGACAGTTCTGCATATATTGTCAAAGCAAGAATATTCAATATTAGCAGCGTTGACATGTGGGTTAAGTAATGTAGGTTAAGTAGCCATCATAAAAGTGGATGAGATAACCCAGAAAATAATTGCTCCAATTATACAGAGACTAAGATGTTTTGCTTGCTGGTAAAACATCTCCCTCCTTTTCACTAAGTTGAGTGAGAAGGATTTCCCTTCATGTCCAGCCCCACATTTCCAGAATTGGCCCTCCCCCACAACAAAGGCCAAAGCTCAGTAGTCTGCATTTAGGCAGTCCTGGGTTCAAGCTTTACTATTCCAATTGTAGAGATAAAAGATGGAGGGAAGGGTGTTTTTTTTTCCTCTGCCCCAAACGTTTTTCTCTAGATATTTTTATAGTTCTTTTACAGTCAGCTTGACTAAAAATTTACATTTAAGTTTATTTCAATTGTTGTCTCTTTTGTTTTTCCAGTGCTATAAGAAGGCCAATTTTAGATGGCCGAAATTCTTACCAGGTGGAATAGATATTGATCTGCTGGAAACCAGTTGTTACACTGCTGGCATAAATTTGTTTTGGAACCTAAAAGGAAGAGGTAGAAGACAATAATCAGTACCGACATTCTGACAAAAGAGCTGCAAAAAGATTTCAGACTGGTCTGTGCCCCTTCCAACAGCCCCTGATTAGCCAAAATCACCCAGACACAGATTTAACAAGGGAAGAGAATGAATGAATGAATGAATTCATTCATTTTATCCCTCTCTTAAGTTTCCTTGGATAAATTGGGAAATACTGAGGCTTAGAAATGGGTTGCATAACCCCAGTTTTAGCCAAATCAACAGTATATTCATAAAGCAAATTAAAACCCTGATTATTTTCATCTAGACACAGAGAAAACACAAAACCTTAACAAGACCCAATGTTGTATTCATACAACGTTTAAGCAACTAAAACAATCATATCAATGCACTAACATCACACAACAGGCTAAGGCAATGATTAATAGGACACCTGCACTATAGCCCAGACATGTCAAACACACGACGCAACGTATCAGAGCTTTTTTGCCATTGCTGGCAATGGGGTGGGCGCGGCTCCACTATGATGAAACCGCAGGCCAGCAGTTTGACACCCCTGCTATAGCCAGTCAAAACAGTTAACACAACTTGATTCCCTGAAGTTTTTAAAATAACTCTAGGTAAAGGAAGGCAAAATTTAAAAATGGTGTTAAGAACTCAGTTGGTGGTTGATAATTACCAATAGAAAGCAAACTACTGAGCCTGTTATTCACTCCTAAGCAAAGAACAAGATGTGCTTTCATGGAGTCTGAGCTTGCAAAATTATCCAGTATGCAAGCCATGCTCTGCAAGAGTGTCACAACATAGTAATTGAAAGAAAGGAGCTGTGCAATGATGTGTAAGGATTGCCCTGCTTTGCTACAGACAACCCTGAGACATTCTGAGCTACAAATTATTCTACCTCATTTCAGCCTTTCCCTAACCCAGTGGTTCTCAACCTGTGGGTTGGGACCCCATTTGGGGTTGATCGACCATTTCATGGGGGTCGCCAAGCAAGGCTGTCCGCCATTTTTTTTGTCCGTCATTTTTCCCCCCTTTTCCGGCGGGTGCCTTACCTCCCTTGAGCTGGGCCAGCTGGTGGTCGGCCTGCTCCGTCTCTGCCGCTTGCCAGCTATGCCTCGGCCGGCGCAGGGGGCGGAACCACGCATGCGTGGCGCTCCCGGGCAGGGAAAGTCCTCGATTTACGACCGGTTGGGTAGTCCTCGACTTATGACCGGTTTAGTCCTCGACTTATGACCGGTTTAGTCCTCGACTTACGACCGGTTGGGGTCGCGGCATTAAAATGGTTGAGAACCACTGCCCTAACCCTTATTCTAGCTTCCGGTAAGGAATGTGCCATTCCTGGGGATCTTGATTTTTAGTCTGCCCCCTTCCAGTTGTTTAAACATCTAGGCCAGGGGTTTTCAAACTTGGCCCTTTTATGACTTGTGGACTTCAACTCCCAGAATTCCTCAGTCAGTCCACAAGTCATAAAAGGACCAGGTTTGAAGACCCCTGGTCTAGGCTAAGAACAGAGAACAAGCTTATTTATTTGATTGATTATAGTATCCATTTGCTAGTGGAGGCAGTTCTACCTGTGAACTGTCAAGAGTAAGCCAGGATCTATGGTAAATGGAAAACATGGGTTTCTGTTGATGGCTTGAATTCAGCAGGAACCCATGTTAGAGGATGTGCTCTCAAATATAAGGAGAGTGCTGAATGAATTCTGAGCAACAATGTTGTGTGTCCCTCCTTTAAAAAAAAAAAAAGACTGTTCATTATGTGACCCTCTTGGATGCAGATTATATATAGGCTCAGTGCAGCTGTCAGCAAATGCTAACAGAAGTTCATTATATCTGAGGTAAAAGCTAGATTCAGAAATATATGAGGATAGGAAAGCCTGAGTTCTATCTAAACTACATTTTGAAGAGAGGAAAGCACAAGAGAGAAAGAGAGAGATGGCGAAGGGAAGGTCATTTTGATCTTTCGTTTCACTAATCATAGGCCAGGGGAAAAACAGACCCAGCTCCTAGATCAGGCGTGTCAAACTGCCGGCCCGTGGACCGGTTTCATCATACCGAAGCCACGCCCACCCTATTGCCAGCAACGCAAAAAGAGTCGCGATACGTCGCAACACATCACGTGACGTGGCGAGTTTGACACCCGTGTCCTAGATGCAAAAAGATTGGGCAATCTCCATCAATTCCCAGGTAGCATTTCAAAAGGGCATTGATGGGGAGGGAGACTAGACAAAGGTAGCAAGAGACCTACAGGTGTGAAACTCACCAGGGCTCCTCAGCATGTTGTCTGTTTGACAGGTGAGCTTGTGCCCCTCTTGGGCTTTGTGCATGACGTATTTGCCACAATCCCAACACATGGTAGTGCGGCTGCCACAAGCATCCAGGTGAGGTTGCAGCATATGGAATGGTAGCTCCAGCTCGCAGAAGTGGCATTTAATTAAGCGCTCCTGGCATTCTTCAGCCTGCAGGGATGGGAAGAACAAAGGACCCAAAGTTCAGTTTTTGCAGTTGTGTTTAAAGCCTCAGAGCTTGCAGAAGGAACGTTGGACAGTCAGAATTAGCTATGGAGCACAGGAGGTGTGGATGACATCTTGCCTTATATGAAGTCTTGTACATTGCATAAACCTGAGTCTACAAAAAGTCATGTATTTTTACCCCACCTCTATTATTTTTATAACTCAAGGCAATGAGCATGCATTGCTTTCTCCTCCTATTTTCCCCACAACAACAACCCTGTGAGGTAGCTTGGACTGAGAGTGATTGGCCCAAAGTCACCCGATTGGTTTTCATGCCTAAAGTGGGACAAGAACTCATGGACTCCCACTTTCTATCCCAGTGCCTTAACCACTACACCAAACTGGTTCTTGTCCATTTTCTGGGTTCACCCAAGGCATGAAACACATACTGACCAAAGAGACAGAATTCCCACAAAATGTTAGCCTACACAAACTCTTTACGCTGCTATATTGCTTTCTATGATTAACACTAAACTGTACTAGGCATGTGCAAATAGTAACATAGTAACAAGCCTGGTGTACTGCTCCGTAATGTACAAAATGGACACCCATCAGAGGCAACAGAAATATTCTCTCACCTATTTACTTCATTTTTTGTTAAATTTATGGACCGCCAATCTCTTGGCATTTACAACATTAACCTGAATACATCAGTTAAAGCTTCCAGAGCACAAGACAAGAATCACAGTTACTATTAATGAGATCTCACTTCACCCCAAAACCTTCCGGACTGACTTCCAGGAGGCTACTCCAAATAGGGCTGCTCTTGTTCCAGAGTGAAACTGTTCAAAGAAGAGTGCTACCACTCAGAAGCAGCATTTCTGGTCTCAATCCTTTCCACCTCCCCCAAATAGGCAACTGCAAGCAAATTCACCTGAGAAGGTTGATTCTTATTGGAGAAGGTGGTCCTGAAATTGCCTAGGTGCCAGGTCATAAGACCTTTATGGCATTTCATTTCCTTTGCAATGACTATGGTGCAGCTGGCTCATTTTCAGCTCACGTCAGTCCACACATCCTAAGCGAACTCAAGGAAGATGCTGTTCTCCCAACAAGGTGAGAATGAAAACAGGGATCTGTACCTGTGCCACAAACTTTGTGCAAAGACAGGGACAGATGTCCACTGTCAACTGTGCAATGAACCTGGCTGAAACCATCTTGCTCGTTTTCGGTTGTCACAAGATGGGGGGAGGGGTATGGAGTTTTATGCCAGTCTAAACAATTCTCTGTCCTGTGGGAACCAAGGTCATTTCTGCCGATTAGACTGTGGGGGACTGGGCCTTATTTAGAAAGCCTGCCAAACTATTCTATTGGGAAATGTAGTTGATTGCATAGTACTGGGATGGGAAGTTTAACTTTGTAATAATGTAACTTTTTGGAGGGAACTTTAGTCTTGGTTTCACTTTTGACCATGCTGATATTTTGTAACCAATAAACATAGAGGAAAACTCAAGCAGAGTTCTGTTTTAGTTGGTCTCATCTATCGGAACCATGACACCCGCCTTACCTCATGGTACTCCAGCAGATACTGTTGCATCTTCTTGTGACAGAGTATGCATCTGACCTGGAATATGGAAAGGGAGGATGGAAAGCAGGCAATCAATTGCTTTGCCCAAAGACACAATCACCCACTAGAAGTTAGGAAGGCAAGACACAGCACTGATCTGTTCCAAAGATGTTGGGGTTTTGTCAGAAAGCATATCTTGTTTGGTAAACTCTTTTTAGTGGCTGCCTGCAATGTTATAGTTCATTGATGGATGTGCATGCATGTTTTGGAGATGATCATGGAAAGGCAAGGTATATGAAGGTTTCTTTTAGACAAATTACGTAGCTTTATAAATGAAAGGTGAAGAGCTTTCCTTCTAGATGGGATTTAGGAAGAGTAGGGCTAGATGAGGGTGCTCCAATCAATTATCTATTGGTTTTCTGTGTCAACCTCATTGACACAGAATAAGTCATTGCAAATATGTATCTGTAGAAAATCATGGCCATTTCAACACTGTCCCTATTTTCACACTGTAAGCTTTCAGAAGAATATCCAGCATTGTTTTCATTTCTGCAGATCTAGTGCTCAGAACGAGAGTGGATCTCTCTCTCCCACCTCAAATTCTGCAAAACCTGCAGCAAAGATAGTCCATTACTCCACCCTACCCACAAAAGAAAGTGTTCCAATAGTTAACCAGTGTCAATGTTTCTTCAGTGGGAAGTCAAGGGCAAAACTGACAACTGTAGAGGGAGAGGTGTGTGTGGGTGGGGGTGGTGTGGAGGTTAGAATGTAAATCTATCAAACCAGCCCTGCTGTTACAGGATCTGAAACTCAAAAGTTGTATAGAAAGAGCTCTTCCTTTCACTGGGGAAATGGTGGCACAGCATCCCCCCCAAGCAATGCAAAACTAAGCTATTTCACATACAGCTACTTGACTTATAATCCTTTGTGTAGCACCCATTCAAAGTTACAACAGCACTGAAAAAAATCACTTACAACCAGTCCTCACACTTACTTATTGTTGCAACATCGCCACAGCCAAATGATCAAAATACAGGCAGATGTTTGGCAACTAGCGTGTAACATAAACATAAACTCTCATCATACCATGTTCCTGTTACTCCTTAGATTCAGCAGCCCACGGACTGCCTCCTATCAAAGGCTAGCAAGGCAAAAGATCCTTCCTACCTTTTGGTGGGCCTTGGCATGATGCTCTTTCATGTCCTTCGAAGCAACCAGTTCCTCACACTTGGGACAGAGAGCAAGAAACCGCATGCAGTGAGCTTCGTGGAGAGAGAAGTTCACCGCAGCCACATCCCTCTTGCTAGGAACGAAAGAAAAAAACAGCCATGGACAAGATCATCAATGTGTCTGAAACTTCAGTTTTGGTAAACAGACTGATTCTCCTTTTTATTCCTTGCAAACCAATGGAATGTTAGAAATACATTACATAAAAAGGCTTGGGACTTGCTAATTCTTGATAAACTGAACAGAAAGGGGTATTTGGCATCATGGATCACCAGCAAAAGAAAAAAAAAAGAATTTGAAAATGGAAGTATATGAAAAATACAAGAACTTATATTTTACTGTGTGATACAGGTAGTCTTCGACTTACAATAGTTCATTTAGTGACCATTCAAAGTTACAATGGCACTGAAAAAAGTGACTTATGACCGTTTTTCACATTTATGATCATTGCAGCATCCCTTTGGATGTAAGATCAAAATTCAGATGCTTGACAACTGGTCCGTATTTATGATGGTTGCAGTGTCCCAGCGTCATGTGATTAGCTTTTGCAACCTTTTGACAAGCAAAGTCAAGGGGGGAAGCCAGAGTCACTTAATAACCATGTTTCTAACTTAAGAACTGTGATGATTCACTTATCAACTACATCAAGAAATGGGGCAAAACTCACATAACAAATGTTTCACTCAGCAACATAAATTTTGGGCTCAATTGTGGTCGTAAGTCAAGGACTATCTGTAGGTGCCTGGCTAGGGAATTTTGGGAGTTGAAGTCCACATATCTGGGCTAGAGTTTAGTGCAGGGGTAGGCAACCTTGGCTCTTTTATGACACGTGGACTTCAACTCCCAGAATTCCTGAGCCAGCTATGCTATGCTATGCTATGCTATGCTATGCTGGCTCAGGAATTCTGGGAGTTGAAGTCCACGAGTCATAAAAGAGCCAAGGTTGCCTACCCCTGGTTTAGTGGCTGGGCTTCCCACACCCCTCCTGCCCAACTTCAAAACGCGTTCTCTTCTCCCCAGCCTGCCACCAAGCAGATTCTGAAACAGACAGAAGCTACCATTGCAAAAACAAAGCACACTTGCCTCGCCTATGTGAGAAGTTGAGATAAGCACTGAGGCTTTCCTACCAGTTCTTGCAGATGCGTCTGTCCTCTTCCATTTCTCCGCTCGGACTCCCTCCACCTTTCACTTTCACTTCTGCAATCTGGATCGTCGGAAACGAAACTGAAAACATCTGCCTGCCTGTAGCACATCCCTTTTGCTGCTGCGACCACTGACAGAAACTGGGCGAGCAGCCAGGATTTCTTCTTCCTTCAAAGGCAGAATACTTGGAGCCCCCTTCCCCTCCCGGGAGCCCTCCACTCCTGCGCCGCAGTTAAGCGGAATCAACAAAGTGATGAAAATCCTAAAAATTTTATCTTTGTAAAAATATTCTTTCAAACCTGAGAAGCCACTAGAGGGCAGCAGAGCTCCTCATTTTAACCTTCCTTACCCATCGTCGAGGCCCAGAAACCATCTCTCTCTCTCTCTGCTTAGATCTGCTCTCACGTTACAGCAGGGAAAGTACCTCACGCAACAGGTGGTGGGACAGACTGGATGAAACATTCCTCTTGTGGGGTCTATACAGCCTCCTCTCCTGGAAGAGGACTGACATTTTTGGCCCCTGTCTTGGGCCACTGAACTAGGTTGCTGCTTTTTGAAGCAGAAAACCTTACTCCGCAGTGCAGTAGTTTGCTTCTATGTGTGTAATGGGAAGGTGAGGGGACTAAGTGTGGGATCAGTCTTACCCAAAACTTTCCTTTAAAATGGCAAGATCCCTAAATGGTTAATCATCTAGACTGGTGTTTCTCAGCTCAGCAACTTTTAAGATGTGTGGACTTCACCTAGAATTCCCTAGTCAGCAGCATGAAGTCCACACATCTTAAAAGTTGCTGAGGCTGAGAAACGCTATTCTAGAAGACTTTCCTTATTTGCAGTTTTTGTTGATAAACAGTGCCTGGCAACTCCATTATCTTGCCTTGATTATGTAATGCTGGCCAAATTGTCCTCCGCCAAGATGGCAGTAGTCTTACATTGATGAATCAAGCTCTTTTCCTTCTTAAATCACCAAACACCATTGAATATAAGTTTAATTGTGGATGTTTATCTCTCAGCCTTGATCATTCCTTGGTAGATTCCCCAAGGTGGGTTCTAATTCTTAATAGGAAGGAAAACATGCAGTGGCTATTCATTAGTCAGTCAGCATCCTCAAAATATTCTCATTTTTCCTGTTCCCCGCAATGAGGAGAATATGTTTTGCTAACAAGAGTAAGGGTAGGCTACCACTCTCAGGGAAAAAGCCAAGTGATATTAAGAATCTACAGCAGGCATGTCAAACTTGCGTCGTCATGTGACGTCACATGATGTACCACAACTTTTTCCCCATTGCCGGCAATGGGGTGGGCGCGGTTTCGGAGTGACTCATCTGGCCCGCGGGCTGGCAGTTTGACATGCCTGATCTACAGTAGTCCTTGACTTATGATGACAATTGGGATCAGAATTTCTGTTGCTAAGCAAGGCAATTGTTAAGTGACGCACAACCTTTTTAGGAGCTATGTTGTTAAGCCAATCACTATAGTTGTTAAGTGAATCATGCGATTGTTAAGAGAATTCTGCTCCCCCCACTGACTTGGTTTGATGGAAGCCAGATGAGAAGCTTTCAAGTGGCGATCACATGACTGCAGGATGCTGCAATTGTCATAAATACATGCAGCTTGCTAAGTATCTGAATTTTGAACACATGACCATGGGCATGCTGCAATGGTCATAAGTAGAAAGACCAGTCACTTTTTTCAGAGTTGTTTGAACTTTGAGAGGTTGCTAAACAAATGCTTGTAAGTCAAGGACTACCTTTACACCAAAGAAAGTCTCTAAGAAATAGCAGAGGCATCTTCTGGCTCCCAGGGCTGACGTCCTGAGACACTGCACATATATCCCCAACGTACAAAGCAATATCAGTCTTATCTTTCATAACAAACAGGTTTGAAGCTTGTGCAGATCTGTCCTAATAAATCCGTTGGCCTTTAAAATGCCAGGAAGCTCTCTGGATTTTTGCTGTGGCTGATACGTTTTTGCCATCCCCTTTGAAATGTTAATCATAACCATTGTTCCTAAAAGGAATTGTGGCTTCCCAAAGATGAACAATTAATCAACTATCTGATAGTGAAAGACTTTAGGGCCCGGATGAGAATGGTCCAACCAAGAGAATTATGCCTGTTGGGACCAATTCAGTCCCACAGCGCTGGGATTTCTCAGGCTATGGGGCTGCAGCGAGAGCCAAACCTCAAATATTCAGCTAAGTCCACCAAGCAGCTCTTGAGAGGTCACTATTTTTTCTGAACTTACCGGTCCTTGGGGCCCCTCTGATGTCTGGACCATCCCCAAGAGAGCAAATAATGTTTTTATAGCTCATCACCTTGTCCTCTAGCAATGTAACAATGGTTTTTGCTGAGTCAAGCTGAGTCAACCAATCATGGCTCTGGGATTCAACCAGCCTGTCACTCAGCAATAATTGGGGAGTGATCTTTTAAAGCAGTGTTTCTCAACCTCAGCAACTTTAAGATGTTTGGACTTCAATTCCCAGAATTCTCCAGCCAGCCATGCTGGCTGGGGAATTCTGGGAGTTGAAGTCCACACATCTTAAAGTTGCCAAGGTTGAGAAACACTGTTTTAAAGAGTTGTTCACTTTTTCGTGCAATGGTAGAGGAACCTCAGCCAGGTTGTGATCCTTGCTTGCTCAAACTGGAATCATGATGCTGGATCTCAGAACCATTCTAGGATAGAGAAAATCTCTCAACATTGAGATTGTGATGACTCAGGCTGAAATCATATAACCCACTTCACCTGGATATTACATAATGCCATTTACCGAGGTTCAGTGATACATTCCACTTAAACTAGCCAATAAGATTGGGTTTATCCAATGTCCTAGGCTGAGAGAGGAAGAGAGAGAGAAATATGAAAAGTTCATGTTACCCAAGAAAAGCAGGAATGTAGTTACAATAGTCTTTAACTGACTTTGTTTAATCAGTTGTGGAAATATAGCCAATGTGCATCCTTGGTTTACGAGAACCCCAGCCAAGATAAATAATTACAAAAACTAAAACAAGTACTGGTATTGTTGAACTTTAAAGATTAGCCTGTTTAACTTGTACAGGACCATAACTCACTTCCTTAATACATGAGGTACATCATTTACATATGTTCATAGTTAGGGGCAGTGGAAGAACACATGACTTGAAAGTACATGACTGTAGATCCATTCCAGTGGTCTGATTCAAATATATGAACAACCGGTTCTCTATGTGGATGCTGCTTCCAGAAGTCCATTCTGGGGCTGGGCAACAAAAAATTAGCTACTGGTTCTGCCGAAGTGGTGCAAACTGGCTGAATCCCACCATTGGTCCATTCCCTTTTCATTACCTGGAAAAAAAGCAGCACTGTAAAACTCTAGGGAACCCCTGCTAGTTGGTGATAACTGTAGGAGTTATATTGGAGCTAATTTCCCAGGAAAAGAATGCTAAGAATATAAATAACCAATGGACATCTACTGTAGCACAAAGCAGAAGAAATATAAAACCAACACTTAGGACAAAGTCTTGAATTTAAACTTAAGCTGGTATAAGTGGTACTGCAGCTGCAGTTGTCACAAAACTATCAACTGTTTAAAATAGTTTCATTCTTTATGAACAATAACAATTCTTTATAGCTGTGTTGCTCTAAGTGTTCGGAGAACTTCAGCCAAGTTTGAAACAGTCAAGAGGAATCTGACATTGGCAATCCTGGGCTAGCTGAATCCTTGGTCTGACTCAATTGGTGATTTAATTGGCTATAATTGTGATTGGATTGGGCCAAGCATGCTATGTGAACCCATCTAGTTGGCTAGTTTATGTTCTGTTAACTCAGCCAACAGAGTTAATTAGTTAGCAGAGGCTAAATTTAAACTAAATTAAAAACAAATAATTGCAACTGCACATGTAAAATGTGGTTAGGTATAGCTCAGTGTGTGGTGTAATGCTTACTGGTTTACTAGCATATTTCAATATATTCTGGCCAGGAAAATGGGATAATTCAGTACACAGCATGTTGTACGAACTAAGTCAACCAATATAAAATAATTGTATTCTGAGTCAGTATGGAAATAAATAGGGACATTAAAAACAAAGAATAGTTAGTGACAATTACGTTATTGTAAATTACCTTGAGAAAATTATCTACTCCTTTAAACAATGAAAAATAATTATTAAGATTGGCCATTCGACAAAGAGATGTTGCTGATAATGGAAATGTTGAATAAGCTTTCATCTCTCTCCCTTTTGCAAATCTGATAAAAAAAACATTTCATGCCAAGATTCATCTTCTCTTCTAATTCACAGACTGGCTCCTACAGACATTGATGGCCTTTGATTGAACACCTGATTTCCCCCCCTCCCCCCAGGCACTTGGGCCAGGATGTTGTTTGAACTTGCCTAGATGTGTTCTTAGATTTAATTGTCTCTGATTCTGTATGTTTTTATGGATCTGTTATTTCATGCATTGATTTTTTAAAAAATTCTATAGACATAGAAGACACCTGGCATTGCTCTGTGAGTGCTGGCCTTAAAACTGACTAAAATAAATAAATTTTAATACTAACCCAGATCAGTCCATCCAGACTGGTGGACCGTAGTTGGTGTGATATGGACTGAGCATTTTATGTGGATTGTGGTTTTGTAAAGGATAAATCCTCCTTAGCTATAGGGGGCTGTCTGTCCTCTCCTGGATGAGAACCTGGAGTGGGGCAGCAATTTGGGTTATCCTCAAGTTGGATGGAGAAGTGAGTATCCTCACCTGTCCAGGTTGTTTGATAGAGAGTGGATGTTTGATTGAAGTGGATACTGATTGGGATAATTGGGAACGCCGAGTGTGGGAGCAGAACTATCCTGAATCCAGATAGTGCCTAGGTATGTTTGGTTTGTGGTTTTTGTGGGATGACAGTCCTCTGATTTGGGGCCAGCTGATATGTATTGGGGGAGAAAGAGATTTCTGAAGGCCCAGGGAAAGCCAGAATGTGGTGACAGATAGGGAGGCATGGTGGGAGATGAGGGGGCTGATCTCAGGGTCCATGTTCTTGATGTTTTATCCCAGTGTTGCATTC